TGAAGCCAACAAAGAGCTCAAAACTGTGCTCACAACATTTCGAGAGTTCGTGCTTCGTGCAAAATTTTGAAGCGATGCAATCAGTAGGATGGACAGTAGGACGGCTTCGCCTTAAGAAGGATGCTGTACCACGATTTTTGAATACTCTGTGGAACCCACAAGTGTAGCATCTAAAAGGAAGCAGCCAACAAATGTTAGAACTGCATTTGAGAAGAGACGAAGGCAAGAGGTGATTATTATAGTTATAGTTAGCAATATTTGTTTACATTTATAAAAAACTAAGCTATATAGCATTACCAAATTGTGGACAATTTTATAATTTTAGATTATTGACGACGTTCTTGCAGAACATGACGACTTTCTTGTAGGCGACGACCACGATGTGTCGACATCATCTCGAAATGTTTGTGCGTTTTACCTCAAAGGAAGTTTGTCTAAGATAAAGATGTCAAAATATATGTAGACAGTGAAACACAAACATATACAGTGGTAACTAATTCAGACTAATGTCGTTTGATCTTTTCTTTGTTATTTTAACTCATAGAAAATTCCTTAACGTACCTTAGAAGCGCAATGTGAAATGCCACGCAGACATAACAATCCTTCCGCAAAAACACGTAAGGTTAAGAACCACTCAAACAAAAGTGCCAAATATGATAAGTAGAGGTATAAACTTTCCATTTCGGCCGTTTTGATTTTTGAGAAAAATCCAGCAATACGATAATTTTATCTAAAGGTTGAGTTAATTTCAACAAAAAATCATAGCACACAGACGACGTCATGTGAAATTGAACATTTTGAGGATAGCGCTGTATGGTCTGATACAGAAAGCACGTCGACGATGAGCAATAGCTACAATGGATCAGGTTCTCACTCGTTTTCTTCACTCTCAGGCATAGGTCCAATGCCATGTGTGTACACGACCATAGCTGTTTTTACGACAGCTTCGTTTGTACACACTGTGGCAAACCTTCCTCTTGTGTGATGCAAATATGATCGCCATGTATCAGAGGATCAGTATTGTTTACCTCTTGGCAACATACACTTTCCCGTTCTGTACTCATGACCACACAAAAGCCACACTCACTCCTAAAAGATAAAAACATTGTTTTTACTTTGGGAAATACAATGAAGCATCAATAAAATGCAACTAACCATTCAACATTTCCAATTCTGTGAATGTATTTGTCTTCGCTTTCCGATGACGGAGAATAGTAATGACCACCTTGCGCGTTAGCCAAAGGCTCAAACATGTAAGTTTGTACCTCATTGTTATTGATGACAATATCATAATCGGCTTCTCCTTCAGAAGAATCCATTAATTTTTGATAAATAAAAAACAGTAATAGCAAACTACCGAAAGCCGTGCAAGCACTGCATGCCAGTCGTAGAACGATATAAGAACGATGCTTGTTTATGTCAACTAATACGTCACTCTTTCACAGTTCCCAGACTTAAACAATCTCACGGCGTTTTAGCAATGGTCATCGAATATCGTGTTTTTACCGATTATAACCCTAAATATCTTTTGAAAAATCTTGCGGACGATTTCGAAACTTAGTACGTCTTATTTTCACGCTATAGACATTACAATAAAATAAAGGTGTCTTCTAGCTGGCATGTGTCCTTTATTAATAGAAATAAAAGTTATACGTATAAGAAAATTTTTGCAGTAAAAGCGAAAGCAGGGCGCAAACTCAGTAAATTTATCAATATTTTGAACAAACCTTGTAAGATCAAGCACAGAATGTATTGGTTCAACTTTTTCTTCGTTCGGTTCTGGTTCTTTCACGTTAACATTTCCAGGTTAAATGCAAATAAACAAATTACTCCCCAAACATTGTAGTCATAAGATAATACAGCAATGTTCTTCTTCCCAAATTTCCGCTCTGTTTTGACTCCAATTCAGCGACTGTCAAAAGCAGGCTGGATACAATCAAAGGAAGAACCAAAAGTCTTAATGCTCTCACCCAAATCTCACCAAGAAACGACACGTACATTGCATATTCCTTAGGTGTTGGATCTATGGACGACTGAACAAATCCATGCAATAACGCACGAACTAAAAATCCACAAAGTACGCCGAATAAAATGAAAAATGCACTTCAATTTCAGCCAACGATAAGCTTAACTCTAGATCACGTGAGGTCAAGTTGGGGAATTGTCGTTATCCTGCGAATGTAAGTTTTCGGCAAATAGTGAAAAAGATTCTTTATTAAAATTAGCACATACACAAATTTTTACATTTTACAGACGTAATGATGTGCTCACCTCAAGCCAATTTAAGCGTGGTATCAAAATAGCACTATTTTAATTAGTTTCGTTTTTAGCATGGTAATATGATGTATTTTTATCTTCATATTTTTCGATTTGTATTCTTTTTCTTTTTAAGTAGTTATATTATATTTAGTTACTTTTTAGAGGACCCCTCTCTAAAATTTTTACAAATTTTTACATTTTACAGACGTAATAGAGTACATTCTATCTAAATAGAAATTATAACAAATTTTAACTCCATAGTTTGTGCATTTCTACATTTCTACATTTCTACATTTCTACAAATAAAATATTTCTAAATGTATAGTCACACTTACAGTTCATTAGGAATTGATGGTAGATTTAAATCATATATTTTAACACTAAAGTCCAAATATAAAACCTCAAGCAAGATATTAAAAAGTTCAGCATAACTGTCAACGTCTGATTCCATCCCTTGATTTTCTACAAGATTCTCTTGCAGAACGTTTTCTCCGCGGGAATTGTTTTCGTCTCGTTGCTCATGCTCCAGTCCTTCGTGATCTTCGTCTTCATTTCTATTCTCATGCTCATTTGATTCAAAATTGGAATTTTTATCGTTTTTGTTCATATCTTTATTTTACATTTGCTAATGTGACTCGCAAACTTTACCAACAAATGTTGCTTTCGATGAGGAGGTGCTCCGTCACAAGCCAGCTACCACTTACTTTGGTGTAATCCAAAGGACGTCCTTATACATCACTGCCTTGCAGAAACTCAGAGACTCAGCAAAACTGTTTACGTAACCAATCACGTTCATCCAGTCGAATGCCAATTGCAGAAAGACCAGAAAGCCGGACATGGCAAAATGCCGAAATTGGGAAAGTGAAGCCCCGAGAAGCATTTTTAGTAGTGATGTTGTGATGTGCGTGTACAACAAAAACAGTCCTTCTCAGGACTATACCAACCTGGACGATCTACATCTACAAACATGTAACGATACTTCCGGGTTCAAACCATTTACTTTAACCAGTAAATGGTTTGTGAACTTGGCAATATTTAGGTGTACATCAATCTATGACGACGAAAGTCGCCAATTCTTTCAACATTCGCTAACCTTTGTGTCGAATCACTCGAATGTATTTGGATTTATCTTACTTGAAATTTATTTCTATAAATGTGTTTCTATCAATGCATTCACAATTTCAAACTTGTCAGATTTTTCATTATACCGCACTAAAGATGGCATAAGTTTGCCGAAAAATGTCTGCAATAAAAAACTTAAAAAAAGTTGTCATTTATGTTAAATGCATCATTTCAATCGTGCCATTACGAAATTAGGGAAATTAGAAAATTATGTTAAAATGTGGAATTTGTTTGTTAAGATCTGGTTTTTGTTTGCGTGTGTCTAAGGCTTCTTTGAGTTTTAGAGAAAATTGAGTGCAATGTTCAAATTTGTCTCCATCACACTCGTGATATTTGCCGTGTAAATATCACTAATATTTTATCAAACCTTTTCCTTTTACTGATTAACACGTATCAAGCATCCTATGATAAATTCAGCATTTTAAATAACTTTACTTTATTCTTCATTTCAATCGTGCCATTACGAAATTATGGAAATATTCATGTAATTGTAAATATAGGGGAACCCCGTGATCCATGATGCAAAAAATTGCGCATGAAAAATTCGATGTTTGAAAATTTAAAAAGTTGAATGATTCTGAAAAGAGTTTATGTAATTTAATTTTTGTTCATTATTATTTTATTTACTTAAATCGAAATCAAGCTAACGTGATTGAACAGTTAAGGCTGAAACACACTAGGCAATCGCTTGAGTCGCGCGTCTGAAGGCTGAATGAAACACACTATAATAAAATTTACAACTTCCTGATTCCGACGATTCCGTTCTTTTCGCCAACAGTAACAAAACACAAGTTTTTATGTCGACGTCACCGAAATACACGACGTTCTAGAATTCATTAAATAAAAAACCCTTCAGATAAACTTGTCTATGCCAGTATTCTGTTGTAGAACCAAAAGTGAAATGAAGATATGATCTTTGCACTCTGCTGGACAATTTAAGCAAGTGTCATATGAAAGAATTCGTGAAACGAATGTCATATGAAAGAATTCTTTCATATGATATGAAAGGAATGTTTGGTTTGTCTGACTGGGTAACTATTATCTGAAGGACATCACTTGAGTCTATTGGACATATTTGAAAGGAATGTCATATGAAATAATTCTTTCATATGACATGAAAGGAATGTAAAATGAAAGAATTCTTTCATAGTGGTAAAATATTATCATAGTTTTTTTTACGTACGTTGGATAAGCAATGTCACCTTACGAGAGCAATTTCTCTCCCCATTACCAACCATACCACACTCGACAATTTCACCTGCTTGACTAACTTAGAATGCTGGTGATCCTCAGTAGCACATTGTTATCCTTTCTCTTGACAACTCGGTGACGCTGATAGTCTTGTGGTCTAACTTAGGATGCTGGTGATCCTCAGTAGCACATTGTTATCCTTTCTCTTGACAACTCGGTGACGCTGATAGTCTTGTGGTCTAACTTAGGATGCTGGTGATCCTCAGTAGCACATTGTTATCCTTTCTCTCGACAACTCAATGATTGCAGTACAATAGAACTTACCTAAATGAAGTCATAATATCGTCGCTCGATTTTGAAATAGAAATACAAACAATTCGTTATGTTGATGATGGCACAAAATATGTACAAAGATATAACGCAGATTGTTCAATCAGTTGCATTTTTCATTGAAAACTTTTCAAGAACCTCAAACGGTAATACTTTAAATACAGACGAACAAGTTTACAGTTTGAGTTTACATGACTGACTTTACCAATTCTCGGAAACCTCCGGTGGAAAAAAACTATCGGTATTCGCCGATTATTATTCGATGTCTGTCGTGAAAATGGTTTGTGACGTTTTCAGTGACGTATTCAATTTTCCAAGCTCTCGCGATGTTCCGATCTTTATTCTCGTCCGTATTTGATTCAAGTAAACACTGGATTTAAGGAATTTGAAAATTTGAAAATTTCCTTTTTCACAAATAGAAAATACAACATTGAAAAATACATTTGTTCTAATTAGTTAATATAGAGTCCTTAAGTGGTGACGTCACGTTTCCATGGTGCTAAAAATCTCAGTTCCAAACAAACGCCCATTCGATTCAAAATGGAGACATTATCCATCGCTTCGCTTTTTTCTTTCTTCTCAAAAGAAAAGAAATCTATAAAAAAGGGGGAAAAACCACTTAAGTCAGATCACATTGAAGCATTTACTTACCAGCAGAGTGTTTTATGAGGAGAAGTACACGCAAGAATGAAACAAAAGGTTTATAATGTGACGGTGAATGCCAAATGTCAAGATTAAGTTTTACACTGTTTTTGTTGCCTAAAGGAGCACGAGGGCGAGATTTTCTCTTGTAGTGAAATAAAAAAGGCTTTTTAATGAACGATTTGTTTTAAAAAATAATGATACTCGTCGGTTTTCAGTCCTCAAATTGACCTACCATTGCTAGTTTGGTGTGAGGGAGTTGTGGTAACAGGCTATACATATATTTGCATTTTTATTAATAAACACAAGGATAACATGGTATTTAAAAGACATGGAAATATGGTACATCATTTAATGTTGTTTTCCTGGGGGGAATGGAAATTCCCATATAAAAGTGATGGGATGCTCTTGGGAAATGTTCAGAAAGACCCCTTAAGGGTAACTGTGGGCAGTACTTGCTTTTATTTTTATCCCCAAAAAGACATCCATTGTAAAACATATGTCAAAACTTCTTTTAACTTCTGTTCTCCTAAACATGATAAAAGAATTCTTGCAGTGATCTTATTTGACACCCTATGTACACCCAGGCTGTACCAGATGATAAATATTGTAATCCCTAGGAGGTAAAATCATCCCTTTACTGTTATATTAGAATGCTCCACCTCCCCACACCCCTCTAGCTGTATTTTCTTCTAAGTAAGCCTCAGTCTACAAATTATTTTATTTCTATTTGAACAACAATAATTATTAAAAAACTGTCCAATGTAGTCTTCAAGCATAAAACTACTCAAAAACCATATCTTCGCATTCCTCTTTGATGAGAGGAAATTGCAAATTTACAAGTGTTGCACATAACTGAAACAAAATGTCAGCATAGCAGTGCAAATACAAAGGAATGACGCCTAAAATTTTGAAGTCTTTCAGACTAGCATTGGCTCTTTCGACATGACTCCGTGCTTTAGCTATGGCTTTTGTTTTCTTGACCTCACTCTCTGTGAAAGTTCCATTATTCAGAAAAGGTGGAATATTGACACAGACAGCATGTGGTACAACATCCTGGATAAGGAAACCCTTGTCCGCCAGAATCATATCTCCAGCTGTCAAGTGATTAAGGAGTCCAGACTGTTGCACAATGGCCTTGTCTGAAATAGAACCTGGATACAGCCGACTGACATTAGTAATGACTCCATTTGGTGCAACACCAACTATGACCTTAAAGGAATTCATTCCTCTGTATGATAAATAGGTTGCATTTTGCTGACTCATCAATCCCAGTGCAGCAACCTCAATATCTGTGCAGTCTATAACAATCTGACAGGATTCAAATTGCCTGAAAGAGGAGGTTGCTGAGATCTTGTCTTTTTCCTGGGATGGAATAGACGTCATTAGGTCATCAAACAAAATTTCATGCAAAACATGAGTGAATGCTATAACAATGAAACAATTGGGCTTGGTGAAGCTGTGTGTAGTTCTGTCGTACTTTCATTAAAGTGATAAAAATTTGATTCTCAAAATTGATGGATTATACCTTCCAAAACACTCAGATTTAAGGTTTTGGCTACGGAAAATACAAAGCGACCGTTAAAAAGACAACTAGCTGAAGCTTCTATAATTCAGTATTCGATGATTCTCCCTCATGTCCTGATGTCAACTCTTCACCTGAATAGAGTCCGTAAATCTCACTTAGAATCATGTAATTCATCAAATTTTCACCGAATAAGGAAGTCTTTTTGAATATCAGTTCATACCTTATGAGTCGAACCATCTCTTGAACTCGTCGTTCTGCTTTGTAGCGCTTGGAAAAGCAAAGAACTTGCAAGTGTTGCCCTCCGACAAACGGCCACATGTAGGAGCAAAACAGTAAACCATTTTGCCCGTTCGACCCACGTCCTTTACACTTCTTAAACAAAAGTTGATCCCTTGGATTACCTTTTAATCATTCCTGTTTTTTTTTATTGTCTTTTGTGGGATTACACTGGATAATTAAAGCTTTAGACATTCAGAACAAAGGAAGCATGTCCAAAGCGCTCGCATAAGATATTTTGCTTAGAACTGCATTTTTTAGCGCCATGGCAACGTGACGTCACACTTAAGGACTCTATATAGCACGAACTAAAAATCCAGAAAGTACGCCGAATAAAATGCACAATACACTTCAACTTCAGCCAATGATAAGCTTAACTCTAGATCACGTGAGATCAAGTTGGGGAATTGTCGTTATCCTGCGAATGTAAGTTTTCGGCAAATAGTGAAAAAGATTCTTTATTAAAATTAGCACATACACAAGTTTATACATTTTACAGACGTTATAGAGTCCATTCTATCTAAATAGTTATTTTAACAAATTTTAACTCCATAGTTTGTGCATTTCTACATTTCTACATTTCTACAAATAAAATATTTCTACATATACAGTCAAACTTACAGTTCAGGAATTGATGGTAGATTTAAATCATATATTTCAACACTAAAGTCCAAATATAAAACCTCAAGCAAGATATTAAAAAGTTCAGCATAACTGTCAACGTCTGATTCCATCACTACTTGATCTTCAACAAGATTCTCCTGCAGAACGTTTTCCCCGCGGGAATTGTTTTCGTCTTGTTGCTCATGCTCCAGTCCTTCGTGATCTTCGTCTTCATTTCTATTCTCATCCTCATTTGATTCAAAATTGGAATTTTTATCGTTTTTGTTCATATCTTTATTTTACATATGCTAATGTGACTCGCAAACTTTACCAACAAATGTTGCTTTCGATGAGGAGGTGCTCCGTCACAAGCCAGCTACCACTTACTTTGGTGTAATCCAAAGGACGTCCTTATACATCACTGCCTTGCAGAAACTCAGAGACTCAGCAAAACTGTTCACGTTACCAATCACGTTCATCCAGTCGAATGCCAATTGCAGCAAAGACCAGATGATCTTGAATAATGTGGCGTGGGTAAGATCTGTGCAGTATCCTAACTTTTAATTCTGTTCTTCTTAGATTTACAAACATTATTTTATTTTAGTATGCGTTTGTTTTACTGGTTGCTAGAGATTGTATTAGGAGAATTTAAACGAAGAAGTTAGTGCAATCAACTGATAAAAGTGATAAAGCTGATAAAGCCACATTATTCAAGATCATACTATTCAATGGTAATTTATAATTTACATTTGCGAGATGGCATCGAAGGTCACATCTCAAGGGCATGTGTAGTGTATCTCAACCACTTACGAAACAGAGAGCCTTTGTGGAGATGCAATATCCAAACATGCAATCGAAGAAGGATGGCTTCGCCATAAGCGTCGTTTTATACCTTCAGTAAGTACCAATTGTCTTTTTTCTGTTCATTACGGTGTTTGTATTAACTTTAACAGAGGCGTCGATTTTATTTTTTAGAAAAATGTGATAACTGTGATGATTATCTTGTAAAACCCTCGTGTTGGCATGTATCGTCTAATAAAAGACCTTATCGAGTAAGTTTTAATTCGTTTGTAGTTGTCGTAAAATGTTTTTTTCTATGTAATATTACATCGCTTACGTATATGTATACAGAAGTGCTAACATGTAAGCAGTAAATTCATACGTTTTTCTTAGATTTCTTTTAGAACAATGTGTAATGGTTTGACCTTACGAATCGAACGGGAATAAATAAAAATATATATTTACAAAAGCTTAACGACTCGTGTTTCAAGTTTGTTCTTTTTATCCGAAACAAATATTTTACGCCAATCGTTACAAGTGTATTTTAGTATCTCAAGTCCATTAACGGGTGGCTTGACATCTTCAATGCTTTTCATAAAATCTTTGATCACAATCTCTTCGGACACATTTTTTCAAGGCATCATCAAAATGCAACAACATACGCTCGTCATGCTCCATTATCAAACAATCATGCTCACGCTGATGGGGTGGTCAATCATGCATCCATTGCAGTTCTTATTTACTTCAGCGTTTATCATTGCAACAATTTCTTCAGCATAGCAGTCTAAAAGTTTATTTTCTAACAAACTTTGACGTAAAGTTTTTTAATCTTTTCTGACTCCAAAGGCAATTTGTTCATTCTTAATGCCAGATCAATGTCTACATTCAATTCCATTTGTTTCAAGAGATAAAATGTAAACCTTTCGATAAAGTATAAGCTATAAAATGCAATTACCTCGTTTTCTACCGTTTTTACCTTCGATTGTGAAAGGGAAACGGATCTAATGTTAGTTTGTCAATAGCATGCAACTTCCAGCTTTGTCGTATTTCCGATTTTCACGCCATCCAATGCCATGCCACAGAATGTATATATTCTGTGGCCATGCCTTGTTTATTAACGGTGCGGTTTACATGCGCGCGCACCGATCAATTTCAGGGACTGGAAACTAACTGGCACGGGTAAGAGCTCTGTGACAAAAGTGTGACAAAGCTGCACCTTATCTACTGGTGTACATCAATCTATGACGACGAAAGTCGCAAATTTTTCCAACATTCGCTAACCTTTGTGTCGAATCACTCGAATGTATTTGGATTTATCTTACTTTAAATTTATTTCTATAAATGTGTTTCTATCAATGCATTCACAATTTCAAATTATACCGCACTGAAGATGGCATAAGTTTGCCGAAAATATCTGCAATAAAAAATTAAAAAAAAGTTGTCGTTTACGTTAAATGCATCATTTCAATTGGGCCATTACGAAATTATGGAAATATTCATATAGTTGTAAATATAGGGGAAGCCCCTGATCCAAGATGCAAAAAATTGCGCATGAAAAATTCGATGTTTGAAAATTTAAAAAGTTGAATGATTCTGAAAAGTTTATGTAATTGAATTTTTGTTCATTATTATTTTATTTACTTAAATCGAAATCAAACTAACGTGATTGAACAGTTAAGGCTGAAACACACTAGGCAATCGCGTCTGAAGGCTGAATGAAACACACTAAAATTAAATTTACAACTTCCTCATTCCAACCATTCCGTTTTTTTCGCCAACAGTAACAAAACACGAGTTTTTTTGTCGACGTCACCGAAATACACGACGTTCTAGAATTCATTAAATAAAAAACACTTCAGATAAACTTGTCTATGCTAGTATTCTGTTGTAGAACCAAAAGTGAAATGAAGATATGATCTTCGCACTTTGCTGGACAATTTAGCAATTGTCTCATGAACCATGACATTCCTTTCATGTCATATGAAAGAATTCTTTTATATGACATTCCTTTCATTGTCCAGCAAAGTGGGAAGATCATATCTTCATTTAATATCAAACACCGCACTGCACCACACGGATCGTCAATAGAAAATAATTGATGTTTGTAATGATGATTGCCAACGTTTCTTTGAGCATTGTAAATTTATCCTGAAATTATAACCCAACTTTAGCTCAATGGCAAATAAACAAGAAATTTCAAACATTCTGTATGATACACCATGTATAATAATAATAAACTTAAATTATTAGTGAGATGATTTAACGATGGTGGAGCAAAACATGAAAGCTATAAACGACACTGAAATTAGTAAATGTATATCGTAACTCTCACACCAACCTCTTTTACTGAAGCCAAGTTAGCCACGAAGGTAAAAATGTACAAATCAAGTTGAAAGTCTCGTTTGCACGCTTTGAAAATTGAAATAGGTCTGAGATAATAAGAATCCCTTGTCTCTGTGTTGGTGGTCGTCTTCAGTTCGTTTGCACGTTATGTGCAGTTTGTACTAGAGTGTGCGGTTTGATGAAACGCCGGAAGTACAATAGTTTCCCATAACCAATCAAAATCTCGAGGAATTATCAAACCAATGAAAATCCTAAAAAGGAGTCGAACGCATTATGTCATCATACTTTCATTTACATCTTGACCTTGGTGAAGAAAACATCTCTAAAAGGAGGCTCAAATGTACGAAACGAAATACATATACGATACGATACATCATTGCTTCATAAAACTAGCCATATTTTCCTTTATGTTATTGTTTTCTTTATTCGTAATGTCGACATAATCATAAAGTTTTTGTCGTTTTGTGAGCTTTTGTACTTTTTAATACAGTGAATGTCATGATACACTTACGCGTTTGAAAATTCAAATATTCTCGATTTCATTTGATGATATATAAAGTTAGAAAGGAGTATTAGAATTTTTCAACGAACTTCACTGACTGTATAAGTTCTGATACACAACAAAGGTGAACGTCGACAATGCCCGCAGGTCATTTCCCCTAGAGATAACTTGCAATGTATATTTTAATTGGATTGCATGCTGGTTTTGGTGTATGTCAACGAAGATGTTCGAGTTAAACCTAAGGGCATATAATGAGGGCATATAAAAATTTGCTTTTTCACAAATAGAAAACTCGACATCGAAAAGTACATTTGTTCTAATTAGTAAATATTTCAATTATTATTATGTTAACGGCGCACTTGTACAAATTATAGATATTTATAGTTCATCAGGAATTGAAGGAAAATTTAAATCATACAATTCAATAAGAAGTTCCAATATAAAAGTACGAGTAAAAATATTAAATATTCAGTCAGACTTTCTGTCCAGATTCCATCTCTTCATCCTCTGCAACACTCTCTGGAACGTTTTGTGAACGGGAATTATTTTTTTCGTCTTGATGTACTTTCTCCAAGCTCTAGAGATTTTCTTCTATATCTTTATTCTCGTCCGTATTTGATTAAAGTTAGCTCTGGATTTTTTCACCGTTTTCGCTCTTTTCCTTACTTTGTATAAAATTGAATGTAAATACAGTTGACCAACTTTAAGAACTTAAATCATTCATTCTGCCACAGCTACATGACACACCAGTGCAATGTAAGAACCACGATGAACAGACATTCCACAATGTTTGTCGCGAACGCAAAACGCGGCATGGTTATCTACACACGTCTTTATGCAAAATACAAACAATAATGTCGTTAAGTGGTGCCATGGAAAGAAAAATTTAAAATCTTTTCGTACAATACAAAGAAAATGCCCGCAGCTCATTTCCCTTAGAGATAACTTGCAATGTATATTTTAATTGGATTACATACTGGTTTTGGTGTATGTCAACGAAGATGTTCGAGTTAAATCGAAGTGATGAAATACACGATATAATGCGTTCTCATACAATTCAGAAAACAATTATCACTTTTATACCCCTTGAGTGAAAGCAATAAATTAAAACGAATTACGCGAAGACAGCAACGCATTTACCCCTGAATACAGTAGAGTAAATGCTCTTGATGAACTCTAAATATTTTTCAGGTTTTATTGATAAGTGTATGTAAACAAAACACGATAAATTGACCGTTTAGCTGGCGACCAGTTTATGCCATTGCAGACGCACTTCCTGTTCACAGCCTGACTCTCTTAGGAAACATCGTCTTGTTTGGAGCTAAATTCAGCATTTTTGGCAAAGTTATCTAAATAATGCTCAGTTCCCTTACTTGCATCCAAATTTGGTGGTTGATATAGCCACTCAATAAAAATATGCTATGCGATCCATGAAAAAATTACTTTTTATTACAAATGAAATGACAGCCCTACTCCGTCTAGTTTCATAAAAGAAATAACATACATAATATATCCAAAGTTTTAACTTGATCTAATTGATGCTCACCATCGAAAGCAACAATCTCAAGTCGGTAATAAACTGAATGATGTGAAGTTTTGAATTACTCGTTTGTATATGTTGATTTTTAGGTTAGTGCAAATCCTGTGAAGAGCCGTTAAGATTACGTGAATTTGAAGTTTCGAAAAGTCAGTCAATACCAACACCAAATCTAAATCGATCACTCAATATAGATATTACAACCCAACTTATAAATTATATGTTTTGGTGTAATATTTATATTGAAAATCCCGCAACAATATTGATGAATCTATAACTCTTTATTTTTCTTTCAACCTTGAAAATTACTATAATTCTATTACTCAAACCGAAAGGAATACCTTATTTTTTAATTAGCTTTGTTCTTTCGTGTGCGTTTTTCCTATTTATCAGTGGTAACACTGTATAGCGCGTCTTTGTCCAACGTCAAGCTGTGTTTAAGCCTGGCGCACACTAGCGCCATCGGCTGAGCTAAGAGTTACTCGTGACTGTTGGCGCACGCCATTTTTTCAAGTGTGCGGTCAAGTTTTGAGCAATATTCGCCTCGCGCGCCATCGGCGCCGAATATTCAACATGTTGAATAAAATGGTGCACGTGCTGAGCTATTAGGGAGTTTTAGCAAGAGTACGACTACGACAACGAGTACGAAATTTGACCGTGTAAGGGAATGGCACGAGGAAGTTTGTTGTCGTCGCTTTGTCAAAATTTGGTTTTAGCTATAAACAACAGAACGAGACTTTTTATTGTGAAAAACACCGACGTTTGCGAAGCAGCTACGGCTCCATTTGTCATATTTTGAATATCAACCAAATTAATAAAAATTGTGATATTTAAAACTGTCGTTTCGTTGTTTTTAACAATAACTTTGTTTGTCTCTCCCCAATGTATCTGGAATTGCATCCAGCACAAGAAAATTCATAAACCACGTTGGATTTTAAAAGAGTGGGAATAGAATCTTTGAAGCAAAAGTGATTTTTGATTTTAAAATGACCACCCGCCACCTTTCCACACGGATTAAAGAACACACAACCACGGACAAAAACTCACACATATTCAGACACTTGCTCTCATCACCACACTGCAAAAAAACAAAAAACAATTATACACAATATACACAATCCTGCTTCCGTATCTTAGACACCGCTCACACTCCTTTCACCCTTAAACTCAAAGAAGCCCTTTATATCAAGAAGCGTAAACCGAAACACAAACATATTTTAACCCCTCATTAACTGTAAATAATTATTCATAACTAGCCGATATTCCGCTTTATCACTATAACTTATTATCATGTAAACTTCTTATTCACTTCGCACTGAAGATGGCATAAAGTATGCCGAAACATGTTTGCTTTAAACAAATTTGTCGTTTATTTTAAATGTGTTATAACCATTGTGCTCTTACGAAATTATGGAGAGGGTTATTAATAATGCTACATTAATTAATTGTCAATTAGTAACACAAGGTGTAGACAAACATTACAGGCCCTTGAAAGCTTCCGTTTTGAAACAGAATGCGTTTTCAAATTGTTTGCATCTCACGCTAATTTATCAGTTTCCGTTTTGAAACAGAATGCGTTTTCAATTGGTTTGCATTTCACGCTAATTTATCAGTTTCCGTTTTGAAACAGAATGCGTTTTCAATTGGTTTGCATTTCACGCTAATTTATCAGTTTCCGTTTTGAAACAGAATGCGTTTTCAAATGGTTTGCATTTCACGCTAATTTATCAATGGTTGTTTTTACGATAATAAAGTAAATATTTATTTCTTTTGTTTTAAATACATTCGGCTCCTGTAAAATGCAACGTTTTAAAACGGACCTGAAAGTTGGTAACTAGTACATTCATATTTACATTTCTTCTTGTGTTGACTGAACATTCAACACAAAATCATCCCACGCTTCCATGGAATATCCATATTCTCTTATCAAATCCAAGACATGAGGTAAAAAATCAAATTCTTCAACCAGAGTCTCTTGTATGGAACGACGTCTTCTACAATTTTCTATTTCTGCCGTCTCTTCTCCAAGACGATCTTGAACATTTAGTTCACCATTGGTTACGTCACGCTCCCCATGTTCCAACCTTCTCTTGTTGTTTAATTTCTTGCAAAGCTTGCAACCCATGTCTATGCTGGTATAAAATGAAGATAAAAAGTCTTTATGCAAGCCTTAAAATATTCACAATTTTAATTTATAATTATTATACTGGGTGAAATAAAATAATTGTTTAAGATCTGCAATTTTATCTACATTTCTATGTAGTCAGTCTGACGTTCACACTGAAAATGATATTGGACGATGCGTGAACACAAAAAATTTGCATAATCCTTACAGATACTATTTGGAAATGCTTAGGTTGTCTGTAAGATAAAAATCAAATTTTAAACATTATCGATTAACTTTTAATTTCCAAAAGCGAAAAAACAGACAAGATTAGTTCAAAATGCTCGGAAACACGATCCAGCAGAAAAAATGCCGAAATGAATGAAACTTGTTTCATACTATCATTGACGACGCGTTGTTGAAATGGATGGTTCGAATCGTAAGAATAGCAAAATATTTCATAGTGTAAAATAAAATAGATAAGTCATATTTACCTTTTCTTTTAAAGCCAAGTTAACCACGTAAAGAAATATACAAGAATCAAGTCAACTAGTCAAGTCTCCAGTTTTACACGCTACAGTTTGACTGTCAATGCTTTCTCTGCAGGGTTAAGAAATGTATATATGCATAATGCACGATGTATCATCTTTAATCTTATTGGTGGAAGGTTAGTAAAACTTAGTATTATTGCAAAATCTGTCATCAGTCACTAACGAAAAGCTGACAGGCAAGCTCATTAAAAATAACTTCACTGTGTCTCACAAATTTCTCCCAACGTCGATCGATACATTGAGGAAGAATTACCGGTTACTTATGCCGTATGCGGAAGGTTTTGTCAACAACATCACGACAAAGTAGACTTTCAAGCTAAAATTTTGTTGCTTTTTGTTTATGGTAGCGTATCTACGTCTATTTAATCTGAAAATAAAGTTGTTTAGTTGCATTAGAATGAAGCAAATGCTGATGTTCAATGTGCGATAGGCTTTGGTAAAGTTGGCAAAGATGCTTGAACAGACGGCGGTCAAGCATAAGTTGTAGTTGCTTCTCACTGCAGCTTTTGTCATGTCGAAATACTGGATACTTTCTATTTAATTTTATCAACAATGTTTGTCTGAATCATTTAATACTTGGGAACATGCATGCTTCACTGAATTCGACTTAACGTTTCATGAAATAACTCGATGTTTGTAATAGTTCAATTTCAAAGACTCGTGAAATAAAACAATTTCATTTTGTATGGCAATAATCTACCTTCAGTTATAATCAGGGCAAATAGTAATTTTTCTAGTATTGTCTGATTGCTGTTGATTTGTATTTACAGCAGCCTTCTAAACAGGATGTTCAAACTTTGATAACTTTTGCCATGGTTTTGGAACTACCATTTGGCACATTACACTTTAGTTGTACTGAGCATATGTAAGGTTTATGAAGGAAAGTCATGGTGCTATGTTATAGGACGACTGCGTGTTAGCAAAAGCCATCTTAACACAAAATTACATAATTATTTGCACATTTAACATCAGTATTTGCTTGTTTCAAATGCGCATAAAGAACTTTATTTTCATATTTAATGAACGTAGAAACACAGTCCACAACGAAAAGCAACAAATTTTTAGCAAGAAACCTTCCACAACGACAAGCGTAATTTCGTCCAATTTTGTGAGACATAGTGCTTTAGCCAATGATAACTTTTGCAATGTTATAATTATTACTGGTACAATTCAAATTATCGCAATCTCTTAGTTTGTTCTTTGCCACAAGTTGTTGAACAAGGTCAGTTTTTCGAAATTTTCAGATGCAGAAGACTCCTGAGAACCTTTGTATTCAAAAGAACTGTCGTCTTAAATCGTCTTTATTGACTTGAAAAGGCAACAAGAAAAGATCACCGATTTTCGCTTAAGCACGGGTCAAACGTCGTGCTTTTCATGTGCCGAACCTAATTCATATTTGGTACGGCAAAGAACGACGTGGCTCGACATCGATTCAAAAGTCGAACTTAATTTGTCGAATTTTGCGCATGATCACAACGATCACATTCGCAAAAAAATTTTGCAATATGCAAATTAACCTATTAATCTAGGGTCGCACGACACTATTCTTACGTACGTTTTAATATGCAAATAAGGGAATTAAGACACTTGCTGGGCTACTTGCTGTTTACCCACCATTTAACTTGTCCACCACCTTTACATCATTAAACTTACTGTAAATTTAGGGGTCGCACGACGCTTTTCGTACGCGTTATTTACCAGATAGTTTGTGAAAATTCATTAAATGTTTCAATATTTTATAGCAGATGAAAAATACCTCAATTTCAATTATTGCATGCAAAGTATCTACGAGGCATAACGGTTATGCCTCGTAGCTACGGTACATACGGCATAACGGTACATAAGAAATACATCCAAACCTTTGCACAACAACTATTAAACAAGAAATTTAAAACATTCTGTTCAACACACCATGTATAACAACAATAAACTAAAATTATTACCACTCGCTTTAGTGAGGATCGATCGTCATTTAAGGTCGGAGATTTACATTCAATTGAAATTTATTTTCAACATAAGTAAAATAAAATAAATAAGCTTTCTTACCTCTCACAGCAACCTCTCTTCTGAAGTAGAAATCTCATACACTTGACAAAGTAGGTCTGACTCTGACGAATTACAATGAGAAATACTCTCTCGCCCCAGATGTGGGTCGCCCACCGCAGATGACGGATTACAACGAGAAATACTCTCTCCTGGTATATGAGAGTCGCACACCGCAGCCACACAAGTCAGAGCAACTACAGTCAGAGCAACTACAGTCAGAGCAACTACAGTCAGAGCAACTACAGTCAGAACAACTACAAACAGTATTATTTTCAGCCGCATCGACAGTCACAGAATAGTGGGCGTACATAAACAGTTACAAGAACCAATCAAAACCTTGTGATTTCATCACCCAACGAAAATTCTGACTGCTTCGAGCTCATGACATCGTCAGACATCACTTACGCTTTGACTTTCGTAATGGAAACATCTCCCAACCAAGGGTCAAAACAAGCTCTGAACAGAAGCAGTATGAAGTACATCAGATGAACACGAAACAACACTGTTTCATAAAACTAGTAATGTTTATTTTTATTGTTGCTTTGTCCATTTGCAATGTCGATAAAATCATAAAGATTCTATCGTTTTGTGAACTTTTGTAATTTTACAGTGAACATCTTAATACACTTCCGCGTTTGAAATTTCAAATATTCTCAGTTTCATTTGATGATATATAAAGTTAGAAAGTAGCAATAGAATTTTTCAACGAACTTCACAGACTGTATAAGTTCTGATAAACGGCAAAGGTGAACGTCGAGATTAAGTTAACATGAAATTTAACTTCACTTCAACGACTACACATTTACAATAGTTTCGCGAAGGTCCAATTCATCTCAAGTTAAATATTTGAGGCTGTATTTTAACCATAATGGACCTTAAATAAATTTTCTCTCGAAATACTGACAATGAAACATTGATTTCTAATAGTCACATGAAAGATTGATATCTGTGTTGGGTTTGAATATAATTGAAGTTAACTAAATGCAGTTCAAGTCAACTGCAGGGTTGTGTATGATAAAAATAAAACACAGCAAGTTTTAAAACAAACCACAATCATTTATGCTTCATCATGTTTTTCTTCATCATCAGGATTATCATCATCACCATCAACTTCTGCATTTTGACGTTCAAGTTTTCCCAGTTCCTTTGCAAAGTCTGCTTCATCCATATCTGTGACAACCTTTGGCTGAACAAATAAAAATGATAATCAATGGTAGAAATTTATTGCTTTAATTTATCATTTGAAATCAACAAATTTCTTGCATGAATGCAAAGTCATGGCAATAGGATTTACAACTACATTTCAACCTCTAACCTTGATAGGCATGTATCCGACATAATGAGAAGAACTGACAAAATAAACACAAAAGTAGATTGCTAAGCTCTTGGTCAGTAATGATCAAGGTTAAAAATCTGTGGGTAAAGTGAAGGTTCGAATCAACAATTGACTTGTAATGTGCAAATCACACAATGACTTGCAAGGATGGTATGGGGGAGGTATGTAGATAATATGGTGATTGCATGAGGATAATATATAGTGATGGTACTAGGTTGATATGGTATGGTAGGAGGTTCACATGGTGGTAGTACAAAGATGATGATTTGAGGATGATATGGTATGATATGAGGATCACATGGTGGTAGTACAAAGATGATGTGGTGATGGTTTGAGGATGATATGGTATGGTATGAAGTTCACATGGTGGTAGTACAAAGATGATATAAAGATGATAACAAGATGTTAAGAGCATAATATGCACATGGAATAAAATGATACAGAGATTGATAACAGAAAGTTTGAGGGATGGTACTTTATACTTAGAACAAATGTACCTTTCTTGTTCATAATGACTTCTTCAATGGTTTTGATTGAAGTTTCTAAAGCTTTTAAACCTTCTTCTCAATTCATTGTTGTTGTCATGACAACATAGGTAGGTGGTGAAATACGATTTATCTTAAAGAACAAGACAATTTATTCGTAAATAATCGCTGTGCTCTGTACAATCTTAACTTTAATTTTACAAACAAAATTTCCTAAACATACATACAAAAACATACAGAAAATAAACATTTGAACATATTTATTCATACTTGACACAAACCTTATGCGATCAAGCACAGAATGAATGTATTGCTTCTACTTTTTCTTCGTTTGGTTCAGTTTTTTTCACGTTAACATTTCCAAGTTTAACACAAATAACTAAAATATTCCTCAAAATGGCGGCTAAAATTGTTGTCATAAGACATGATGAACAACGAAATGACACAGAGTGGATAACGTTTTATTTACAATAAACAGAGAAAGACAAAGAAAATAAACTCAAAGTTTCGAAATTTCAAAATATTCATGCTCGCTTGCGTCAAAAGTTCACAAAAATGGCAAAAAGTTCATATTACATCTAATTTTTAAAATCGGAAGTTAACGGATTAATTCGGAAAGTTTCGGAAAACCTCGGAAATTTTTGAAAACTTTCGGAAGTATTCGGAAAACATCGGATTACCTTAAAATCGTCGTTGTTTTGAAAGAACTGTCAAGCTATGAAGATTTTCTTTTCATTGAACTATGATTTATCTATACATTCTTTATGAAAATGATGAAAATACAAAAATGCATAATATTTAGAAAAGTTCACAAAAAGTTCACAAACTTTAAATGTTCATGAAATGTTCATGAAGAGAGCATAAAGCTCACAAATCTGTGAACTTTTTTCACGATCTGGCAACACTGAGTCTAGCACATTGCTAAAAGAGCATTTAACATAACATTTCTTGACTAAAAGAAATATAACTGCATTTATAATAAGCAGAGAATGTAGACTCCACAATTGTAAAGTTATCTTAAAGTTCACTTTTTAATTATAAATGTAAAGGCATGGCAGTAGGATTCACAAGAACATTTCAACCCTCTGACCTTTGTTGGCTTGCCAGCATAATGAGAAGAACTGACAAAATAAACACAAAGTAGTTTGCTAAACTCTTGTTGATGAATGATCAAATATGTTTACGTAAAAGCACAATTAAAATAAACTGAATATATAAAACAAACTTTTTTATTACAGACATGTTTCGGCAAACTTATGCCATCATCAGTGCAAATGAATGTGTTACTTAAAGGTGATATTTAAATATACAAATAGAGATAAACGTCTTACAGTTAATTGAAATCAGGATAGTAAAACTATAAAACATATAAGGTTAGTGGTTGTTTTTAAATATGAAGGTTCTAATACATCAGGCCAAAGTCAATTTAAAGTTCTTCTGGTATGTAAGGCGAACAATTGAATTCTTCAATACGGCTCTCTGGTATGAGATAACCTCCAGTACCATTTCCCATTTCCGCTCTCACTTCTCCAAGACGATCTTGAAAGTTTTCCTCACCATTGCTTTGGTTATTTTGCTCATTTTCTGAACGTGTCTTGATTTTCGAAGTTTTAGCACGCAAATTATCCATGGCTATGTTTGTATAAAATGAAGATAAGACGTCATTATTCACGGAACTTTTCCATACAATACACTACTTTAAAAGTTAAGTGGTATTGCTTAAAATTTGATTTCAATCTTACAGACAACCAAAGTATTTCATACACGATCGTGTAACAAGTATAAGAAAGAGGGATTCTGAGACAAGTGGTGCCTTTAATTCGTTGCATTGCTGCAAATTTCGTTGTACTATTTGACAACAACTATTACAAGACGCAAATATAATCAAACATTTTTCTGGCCGAGTAAGCGCCTAGTTATATCAAATAAGTATTTTTGTTAGATTCCCAAGAATCGCAAAATAAATAAAGCAGCGTAGAAAATTGCATGCAAGTATTAACATAGCCCCCAACAGAAGTGAGAATAGATTCAAATAGACAATTGAATATTCCTATCTTATGTCGTGAGGGCTTGAGCGCAAAATTTTGGAGTTAAATTTGGGATAATTTTCAACTGTACAGAAAAGGTATGAAACAAGATCAAAGCATGGCAGCTAAAATTAATGAACATTCGATACACTATGCATAAGGCCAAAATTCAGCAATTTAAAAATTTACATGATGTTGAACTGAATTGAACATAACGTCAGAAAAGCCTAAACTAGCTTGTACTATCCATTAGAAATCCAAACCATGCAATTTTGTAAAAATTCACTAACAAACCTAAAAATGCAATAAGTATAAACATAAACTACTCTTTGAAAATTGAAAAAACCCGCAATTTTGTACAAATTCAGTAAGTATACTAATAATAAACCAAAACATATCTCGTAGCTTTAGCTAAATAAGGACTAACAAAATTTAGCTCAAGTAAAAGTATGTGTTCTCTTGTAAACAAAGTACCTGTTCTTGAGAAATCACAAAAAGGAAAAACAGGAATAAAAAATTGCTTTTATTCCTTGAGTAACTCATAAACTTGTGGTCTTTTGCGAACTAACAAGGTTATTCCTTGAGTAACTCATACACATGTGGTCTTGTGCAAACTAACAAGGTTATTCCTTGAGTAACTCATACACATGTGGTCTTGTGCAAACTAACAAGGTTATTCCTTGAGTAACTCATACACTTGTGGTCTTGTGAACTAACAAGGTTATTCCTTGAGTAAAGTGCAAACTAACAAGGTTAGAGTAACTCATACACTTGTGGTCTTGTGCAAACTAACAAGGTTATTCTTTGAGTAACTCATACACTTGTGGTCTTGTGCAAACTAACAAGGTTATTCTTTGAGTAACTCATACACTTGTGGTCTTGTGCAAACTAACAAGGTTATTCTTTGAGTAACTCATACACTTGTGGTCTTGTGCAAACTAACAAGGTTATTCTTTGAGTAACTCATACACTTGTGGTCTTGTGCAAACTAACAAGGTTATTCTTTGAGTAACTCATACACTTGTGGTCTTGTGCAAACTAACAAGGTTATTCTTTGAGTAACTCATACACTTGTGGTCTTGTGCAAACTAACAAGGTTATTCTTTGAGTAACTCATACACTTGTGGTCTTGTGCAAACTAACAAGGTTATTCTTTGAGTAACTCATACACTTGTGGTCTTGTGCAAACTAACAAGGTATCAAGTATGTGAAGTATATGTGGGAGTCAAGAAGTATATGATGGGAGACACAATTCAACAGAAAACAGCCAAAAGCGCGTATGATCTATTGTCTAGTGGTGTAAGTGATCACGGCCAGGTGGTATCGTATAAAATATTCCATCGAATTATATTTTGCATGTGTTTATGCATGGACAACCAATTATTATTGGCCTGTGACAACCAATCAAATTCATGCATAACAATAAACCAATAGACAACCAGCTCAGGTAACTCGAAGCGCGCATTGTTTTGTGGTCTTAAGTTGCACGACATGCAAGCAAACTTTCGTTATTTTAGACAAAAATGCAAAATCTATACTGACTGTGGCAAAGTAAACTGTGAAATGTCGTAATTTTTGGGAAAATTGGGCGACATTTCAGTGCCCGTCAGATAGCTCGAAAATCTGACATTTATTCATAATTTTTTTGAGCATTGTAAATTTATCCTGAAATTATAACCCAACTTTAGCTCAATGGCAAACAAGAAATTTCAAACATTCTGTATGATACACCATGTATAATAATAATAAACTTAAATTATTAGTGAGATGATTTAACAATGATGGAGCAAAACATGAAAGCTATAAACGACACTGAAATTAGTGAATGTAAAACACACCAACACACAAACCTCTTCTGCTGAAGCCAAGTTAGCCACGAAGGTAAAAATGTACTAATCAAGTTGAAAGTCTTGTTTGAATGTTGAACTTTGTTCACGATCTGGCAACACTGGTACTTTAGTTTAGTACTCGTCCGATAAGTCCAAAATTGCTACTTTTATAACCAAGAAATTAACAAACAAAATTAACACGGAAAAAATGATGTTGTCATAATGATCCGCGGAGGAGTTGTGGGTTAGAAGCGTTTGTTTGGTCACCTGACTAAGACGTTGCCAAATTACCATTGGGTAATTTATGGTCACCTACTGGACGACCATCACCTGTAATTGGACTTTCGATGTAATCGCACTTCTCTATGTCCGAAAATAGTTCTTGCTTATGGAACCTTCATGGTCTATATTTCCAGCCATAAAGTATCGAGTAACAGTTACAAAGTCTCGTGTGTTGCGTCAAGGTGAGACAGAATAAACGAGAGTGGATTTTCTCCTTCACTTTTCATGATCTCTTTTTCAACCAACTCATTCGACATGTAAAGCAAGCTCACAATATCGTACATATCAGTTCTAGCGAAAGAACTTCGCTCAGGTCTTTTTTGGAGCATAGCAATGATCGTTTGGTTGTATTGTGGTACAGCATTATTCTTTTGTGGATAAATGCAGTAGACGTCTCTCATCGTTAATTTTGATAAACAAGGAGGCATTCTAAAGAACATCATAGAAACTCTTACAAAAATAACATCAGTTAAAAGCATTTCAGAAAATGAATTACATAATTAGAAACCTTTCAAATATTTAAAGCGAAAACGTCGATACGTTCACATTCACAATGGCTACCTAGGTAAACGTTTATTTATTTGCATTAAAATTCCTTCAAAGCTTATGAAGAAATCACTTTGACGGTTTCACGACATTGAATCTAGCGGACAAATTTATATTTTTAATGGTTTGCATATTATGATACAAACATGACACTTTCAATGCGAAGCTAGTATACAGTTGATTTCATGTTTTTATTTTGAGCAACGTTGGCAATCATCGAACAGATTTGCAAATTTGATCGAGAACTTTCAAGAAACATAAGCACTTTTGAACCAACTTGAAAGTATGACGCGAAAAAGTTGAGATAAATCGAATGTAACATGCTCCAATGAACCACAGTTATGAGGAAGAGTTGAACACTTGTGCTATGTGGCTACATCTTTGATAATCTAATACCAAAGATGAATTATTACTGTCAACAAATTTATAGTGTATGATACACAAGCTAGAAGGTAATTTCTGATCCCTAATTAATGGCGACTTTGAAAGTTTTTGAAACGATAAATTTACACTAAATTGTTTGCACTCAAGGGAACTTTAAATTCCTTTGTCATTAAAGTGTGCTACATATTTGTTACAATGAAGGCAAAGGAGCCAATACATACTTCAAAACTTATCACACGATTGTCACTTAAGCGTGACTTAAATATTATAAAACATGTTTCGATGTTTAAAGTGTTCAGGAAATTGACGCCTCCTGGTTATAACTGGTTTAAATATTTTCATGTTTCACATAAGTACATGTTTGTTCGTCTATGTTTCGACACAGCGCATGAAACCGGTCAAAAAATAGATGTTTGAAGCTATTGACGACGACTTAGCACAATTTCCTTTGTATGATGAAAACTGTCAAAATTATACCCAAATGCGTTGAACATAGTTGCATTTACATATAAATATTTCTTTGGTTTCGCTTTTATTATTAGAACGAAACGTATACTGTGACGTCGTATTCATCAAAATTTACAAAATTCCATTCTAACGTTAATTCAAACTGTTTACTTACTTTAAAAGAAAGATAACAGCTTGTATTTGACAATTTTTCTATAACTACGAACTGAACGACATTGAATCTAGCGAACAAATCTATATTTTTAGTGGTTTGCATATTATGATACAAACATGACACTTTCAATGCGAAGCTGTTATACAGTTGATTTCATGTTTTTATTTTGAGTAACGTTGGCAATCATCGAACAGATTTGCAAATTTGATCGGGAACTTTCGAGAAACATAAGCACTTTTGAACCAACTTGAAAGTTTGACGCGAAAAAATAAATGGAATGTATCATGGAATGTAACATGCTCCAATGCACTATAGTTATAAGGAAGAGTTGAACACTTGTGCTATGTGGCTACATCTTTGTTAACCTAATACCAAAGAATGAGTTATTACTGTCAACAAATTTATAGTGTATGATAAACAAGCTAGAAGGTAATTTCTGATCCATATTTAATGACGACTTTTAAAGTTTTAAAACGATAAATTTACACTAAATTGTTTGCACTTAAGGGAACTTCGCGAAAACCCTCGCGAAAATTTGACGACGTCTTAGACGAAACGTCGTGTTTGCTAAATCAATCTATTATCTTAAGTTACGTAGGGTTAGGATTGTAAGAATAGCAAATTATTTTATTACCTAGTGTAAAATAAAATAGATAAGTCATATTTACCTTTTCTTTTAAAGCCAAGTTAGCCACGTAAAGAAATATACAAGAATCAAATCAACTAGTCAAGTCTCCAGTTTTACACGTTTTATACGCTTTTCGCTTTAGAGGGCAACTTTTTGTGATGTGATCCTCTCCTCTATTTAGGCTTTCACTGCTTCTTGACACTTCCTGTAGGGTTTCTTATTAAGACCTAATTCCACCAATAAGATTAAAGATAATACATCATAAACAAGGAATGAATACAAGAATGACAATCATTTCTAAAAGATGCGCACGCACACAGTGTTTCAATAATTGCATGATTGCTTTTTGAGCTCATGACAAAAATATCAAACACGCCGCTTGTCACGAATGACATTTTGCTAAGCACATAGCTCTCGTGTGCGCCGGGCTTTACACAATACCGGCCGAGTGAGCGCCTAGTTATATGAAATAAGTATTTTTGTAGCATTCCCAAGAATCGCAAAATAAATAAAGCAGCGTAGAAAATTGCATGCAAGTATGAACATAGCCCCCAACAGAAGTGACAATAGATTCAAATAGACAATTGAATATTCCTATCCTCTTATGTCGTGAGGGTTTGGGGGCAAAATTTTGGAGTTAAATTTGGGATAATTTTCAACTGTATAAAAAAGGTATGAAACAAGATGAAAGCATGGCAGCTAAAATTAATGAACATTCGATACACTATGCATAAGGTCAAAATTCAGCAATTTAAAAAGTTATATGATGTTGAACTGTATTGAACATAACGTCAGAAAAGCCTAAACTAGCTTGTACTATCCATTAGAAATCCAAACCATGCAATTTTGTACAAATTCACTAACAACCTAAAAAATGCAATAAGTATAAACCTAAACTACTCTTTGAAAGTCGAAAAAAACCCGCAATTTCGTACAAATTCAGTAAGTATACTAATAATAAACGAAAACATATCTTGTAACTTTAGCTAAATAAAGAGTAACAAAATTTAGCTCGAGTAAAAGTATGCGTTCTCTTGTAAACAAAGTACCTGTTCTTGAGAAACCACAAAGAAGAAAAATAGGAATGAAAAATTGCTTTATTCCTTGAGTAACTCATACACTTGTGGTCTTGTGCAAACTAACAAGGTTATTCCTTGAGTAACTCATACACTTGTGGTCTTGTGCAAACTAACAAGGTTATTCCTTGAGTAACTCATACACTTGTGGTCTTGTGCAAACTAATAAGGTTATTCCTTGAGTGACTCATACACTTGTAGTCTTGTGCAAACTAACAAGGTTATTCCTTGAGTAACTCATACACTTGTGGTCTTGTGCAAACTAACAAGGTTATTCTTTCAGTAACTCATACACTTGTGGTCTTGTGCAAACTAACAAGGTTATTCCTTGAGTAACTCATTCACTTGTGGTCTTGTGCAAACTAACAAGGTTATTCCTTGAGTAACTCATACACTTGTGGTCTTGTGCAAACTAACAAGGTTATTCCTTGAGTAACTCATACACTTGTAGTCTTGTGCAAACTAACAAGGTTATTCCTTGAGTAACTCATACACTTGTGGTCTTGTACAAACTAACAAGGTTATTCCTTGAGTAACTCATACACTTGTGGTCTTGTACAAACTAACAAGGTATCAAGTATGTGAAGTATATGTGGGAGTCAAGAAGTATATGACGGGAGACACAATTCAACAGAAAACAGCCAAAAGCGCGCATGATCTATTGTCTAGTGGTGTAAGTGGTCACTGCCAGGTGGTATCGTATAAAATATTCCATCGTATTATATTTTGCATGTGTTTATGCATGGACAACAATGGAAAATCTATATTATGTTGTTTCTTGCCGCCTTTCAAAGTCAGTTTAGACAACTAAAGACGACATTTTGTTTGAGGTATTAAATACGGGCATCAAGAAGCATTCTGTCTCCGAAATTTTAGGAAAAATTGCTTTATTAAATCACAATGAAGGTGATATTGTTCAACATCCAGCGGCGTCAAGTCAAAGAACAAACTGAAAGATTGTATCGACTTAAATGGTACGAGATGGTTAATAAAATTTAGTATCATTGCAAAAATCTATCATCGGTTATAAGCGAAAAGCTGACACACAAGCCCATTGAAAATAACTGCATTGTGTCTCACAAATTTCTCCCATCGTCGACCCAAACAAATGAAGGATACCGGTTACTTATGCGGAAGGTTTTGTCAACAACATCACGACAAAGAAGACTTTCAAGCTAAAATTTTGTTGCTTTTTTTTAATGGTAGCGTATCTATATCTATGTAATCTGAAAATAAAGTTGTTTAGTTGCATTTGAATGAAGCAAATGCTGATGTTCAATGTACGATAAACTTTGCAAAAGTTGGCAGATGCTTGCATTGACGACGGTCAAGCATATGTTGTAGTTCCTTCTCACTGCAGCTTTTGTCGTGTCAAAATACTGGATACTTTTCTATTTGATTTTTTCAACAATATTTGTCTGAAACATTTAGTACTTGGGAACATGCATGCTTCACTGAATTCGACTTAATGTTTCATGAAATAACTCGATGTTTGTAATAGTTCAATTTCTAAGACTCGTGGAATAAAACTATTTCATTTTGTATGACAGTAATCTACCTTCAGTTATAATCAGGGCAAATAGTGATTTTTCTTGTATTGTCTGATTGCTATTGATTTGTATTTACAGCAGCCTTCTAAACAGGATGTTTCAAACTTTGATAAATTTTGCCATGGTTTTGGAACTACCATTTGGCACATGACACTTTAGTTGTACTGAGCATATGTAAGGTTTATGAAGGAAAGTCATGATGCTATGTTATAGGACGACTGCGTGTTAGCAAAAGCCATCTGAACACAAAATTACATAATTATTTGCACATTTAACATCAGTATGTGCTTGTTTCAAATGCACATAAAGAACTTTATTTTCATATTTAATGAACGTAGAAACACAGTCCACAACGAAAAGCAACAAATTTTTAGCAAGAAACCTTTCACAACGACAAGCGTAATTTCGTCCAATTTTGTGAGACACAGTGCTTTAGCCAATGATAGCTTTTGCAATGTTGTAATTATTACTGGTACAATTCAAATTATCACAATCTCTTAGTTTGTTCTTTGCCACAGGTTGTTGAACAACGTCAGTTTTTCGAAATTTTCAGATGCAGAAGACTCCTGAACCTTTGTTTTCAAAAGAACTGTTGTCATAAATCGTCTTTATTGACTTGAAAAAGCAACAAGAAAAGATCAGCGACTTTCGCTTAGGCACGGTTCAAACGTCGTGCTTTTCATGTGCCGAACCGAATTCATATTTGGTACGGCAAAGAACGACGTGGCTCGACGTCGATTCAAACGTCGAACTTAATTTGTCGAATTTAATTGTTTATAGTAAGCCTTCGGTTGCTTTAGGTCCTGAAGTGATAATTATTGAATGCATGTAATACATTCATAGTGATTTACACACATCATATGACTTCTTGTTAAGTTGTTAGAAGTTTATTCAGTGTTTTTATTTTATCATATGTTCAAAAATGACGAAAACAAAACACCAAATCAGAACGGAAACTAGCTGAAGAATTTTTTTAATTCGTAGCATGTTTGAGCGAGCAAAAAGTCGGAGGAAAATGGCAGAGTCAACACAGACTGTCCTTTGCCGCAGATGTGTTTGACTGAAATGAACGCTAAATGGCGCCAATTATCACTAAACACGCGATGTGTAAAACTCGCCCTAGTTTTTTCGGCCAAAATGTATTAAGTTCGGCACATGATAAGTTCGACGTTTGAACTGGACCGAACTTTCTTATTTACTTCCGTGACTGATAACTTATTGAGTTAGTGTGCGCATGATCAGCAGTGGCGTAGCCAACGCGCTAATTTAAGACCATTGGACTTTGTGTTTCATGAAATAACTCGATGACATAATTTAAGATCCGTGTAAATTTAAGACCATTATTCATTATTCATTTCTTTAGAAATCTATTGTTTTTAAAATGGGTACGTTGCATATGATTAGCAACAATTCACAACGAACAAATTGTGCTCATCTCGTTTGTGATAAACAAATAGGTAAATTAAGGCACTGGGGAGGTTTTTCTTCATTTCGGAGGCAGCACTTTTCACATCATTAAACTTACTATAAATTTAGGGGTCGCATGACGCTTTTACTACGCGTTATTTACAAGATAGTTTGTGAAAATTCATTAAATGCTTCAATACTTTTTAGCAGATGACAAAAATCTCGAGGTGTATGGGTACATCGTATGAAAATTAATTTAAAACTTTTGCACAACAGCAAATAGAGCATCGAGCCTCGTCATTTAAGACACGACAGCTACATTCGATTGAAATTTATTTTCAACATAAGTAAAATAAAAAAATAAGCTTTCTTACGTCTCACAGCAACCTCTCTTTTCAAGTACAAATCTCGACCTGACAACATTGGAAGATGTGAAGATGTGAGTTTCATCAAATTAACGTCACAGAATGGTGGGCGTCAATGTACATAAACAGCACAGAATGATACTTTTCCTATTCCGTGACGGAAGTGAAAAATTGCTGTGTGATACACCTATTGCTGCAATATGTAAATTGTTTATGCGTAAAATTTCTAGCGTGATGGGAAAATTCTAAGTTACTTTGCTATCAACCACTTTTCAAGATTTTTCAAGTCAGAGTTTGCTGTCGTTTCTAGTTCAACTGTATCATTATTTGAAGCAGTTAAGCAGTTATTACGCGTTAGATAGTTTGAAAATCTGAAAATTTTATTCAATTGCAATATTTTTATTTCAATATGTAAATTATGTCGTCCTCAACAACACCATACTGCAAAATGTCCAGCCCTTAAAATACAATATGTAAATTTGTCTTTGTTGTTTAGGTTCCCTTTTTGCACTCGAGTATATATTGTGCGATGTGCTCAAGAATTTTTAAGTCAGAGTTTACTGTCGTTTCTAGTTCAACTGTATCCTTATTTAAAGCGGTTATTTCGCGTTAGATAGTATGAAAATCTGAAAATTTTGCCAATTGCAATATGTAAATTATTTCATGTTGTATCGTTTTTCCTCTGCCATGGTGCCGTCCTTTCGTCTGATTTAAGTCAGAGTTTACTGTCGTTTCTAGTTCAACTGTATCCTTATTTGAAGCGGTTATTTCGCGTTAGATAGTATGAAATCTGACATTTATTCATAATTTTTTTGAGCATTGTAAATTTATCCTGAGTATATAACCCAACTTAGCTCAATGACAAATAAACAAGAAATTTCAAACATTCTGTATGATACACCATGTATAATAATAATAAATTTAAATTATTAGTGAGATGATTTAACGATGGTGGAGCAAAACATGAAAGCTATAAACGACACTGAAATTAGTAAATGTAAATCGTAACTCTCACACCAACCTCTTTTACTGAAGCCAAGTTAGCCACGAAGCTAAAAATGTACAAATCAAGTTGAAAGTCTCGTTTGCACGCGCTGAAAATTGAGATAGATCTGAGAACAATAAGAATCCCTTGCCTCTGTGTTAGTGGTCCTCTTCCTTAATATACAAGAATCAAATCAACTAGTCAAGTCTCCAATTTTACACGCTTTTATACGCTTTTCGCTTTAGAGAGCAACTTTTTGTGATGTGATCCTCTCCTCTATCTAGGCTGTCACTGCTTCTTGACACTTCCCTGTTGGGTTTCTTATTAAGACCTAATTCCACCAATAAGATTAAAGATAATACATCATAAACAATGAACATTTAACCATTCACAACATAGAAAATCATATCTAAAAGATGCGCACGCACTTTCTCTAAAAGATGCGCACGCACACAGTGTTTCAATAATTTCTGATTGCTTTTTGAACGCCTGGCAAAAATATTAAACACGCCACTTGGCACGAATGACATTTTGCTAAGCACATAGCTCTCGTGTGCGCCGGGCTTTACACAATACCGGCCGAGTGAGCGCCTAGTTATATGAAATAAGTATTTTTGTAACAATCCCAAGAATCGCAAAATAAATAAAGCAGCGTAGAAAATTGCATGCAAGTATAAACATAGCCCCCAACAGAAGTGAGAATAGATTCAAATAGACAATTGAATATTCCTATCCTTTTATGTCGTGAGGGCTTGGGCGCAAAATTTTGGAGTTAAATTTGGGATAATTTTCAACTTTACAAAAAGGTATGAAACAAGATTAAAGCATGACAGCTAAAATTAATGAACATTCGATACACTATGCATAAGGTCAAAATTTTTGAAACGTAGTGCGGATGTTTTTAATAAGTTTGTTCGCCAGCATTTTGTCGTTTGCCGATGGTAGCCTTTGCAATGTTATAAGACAATTCATACCCATTTATTATAAACGACAACTTTTTTGAAAATAGACATGTTTCGACATCTCATGATGCCATCTTCAGTATGAGTGAAATAATAGGTGATACAAGGTTTATATAAAAGTAATATGATACATAAATTACAACAATAAAAAGGAAATAAGATAAATTAATGGGGAGCGTCCGAGCGTATTATAAACTAAATATTGTATTGAATTTAAAAACTTGAACATTGAGGTCAGGGTTAGTTTTGTTAATGTGGAGTGTATCTTTGATTTTAAGGGAGAATGAGGTGTCGGCAGTGTCGATGATTTTGAAACAAGAGGGTGAATAGTTGGTTTTGCATGAGTGAGATTTAAGAAGGTGTCGGTAGATATGAGAGTTTTTGTCTGTTGTGTTATATTCCCTGATTCTGGTGGATAAATGGCGCGAAGTTTCGCCAGTGTATCGGGAATTACATCCCGCGCAATTGAATTCATATACCACCATAGGTTTAATTGAATCAGGGATTGGGTCTTTAAATGAGAAAAGGTTTTTGATTTTGAATGTTGTGAAAATTAGTCGAATGTCAATATCTGTACAGAAGCGTTTCATAATGTTTGTAAGTCTGCGTTGTGTGTGTCGTGAGTAATGTCCGATTTATGGTAGTTTGAAGTATAGAGTTGTTATTTTGAAATTTTCATTTGTGTTGGTCGTGATCGTCGTGTCAGGAGTTTCGGTGTCTAGTTTGAGGTTGTTGCTTTGCTTGTTGTCGAGATATCGTTTTACGGTTCTGTTAATAAAGTGTAGTGGGAAAGAGTTTCGTAAAAGAGTGGATGTGATGTTTTTTATGTCTCGTTGAAAGCCATTGTTCGTATTGTTAAGTTTGTATGCTCTGTCGATTAGTATGCGTATAATGTTATTTCAGCAAGTTGATTGAGCATTTAAAATAAATGGAATTTCAAAAAGCTTTTATTATTTTTTCACACTGCTTAAATAAATATGAAAATTTATGGAATGCTGTGCTTTTATTCTTTATACAAAGTATCTTTTGAACACTCAATACATATAAATAAAAAATAGACTAGAAAACTCTGTCTTCAGCATATTTCACAATCCAAAGTTGAGTAAAAACAAATTTATATAACTTTATACGCTCAGCTTTTCACTGTCATATTTTGGTGCCAAGTGGAAACTGTTGATTTACGGGAGATCGAATGTACAAAACTAGACAAAATGGAATGCTTCAGACAGTAGGAAAAATGTTTTATCAATCCATGCCACCTTTAACCATCAAAATTGATAAAACATCTTCAGCATTCCTTTTAGCTACATGGTGTCGAGAAACCAAAATAATGAAAGTCATATTTTGGCTTACACACAGTGAATCAATAAGAAAAATATCAGAAATTCTTTGGATTGGGAACATTTTGCAATCCACATTGCGTTGCTCGGCGCTTTTTGTTTTTATCATGTGAACGAGACAATTTTCTCTTACAATACGTAAAAATTTTATTTGAAGGAAGCATAGTATAGCTATAACAGCCAGCTTTCAAAGCAGTTGGTCTGAAGTATATTAATTTAACAGAAAATTTTCGTAATAAAATGTTCGTGAAACTATCTCACTTTATAATGACGTGATTTAATTACTATGTTATGCATACAACAGTATAAATTTCTGTTTTGTCAATATTCATAAGTTGGTGATGAATAGTGACAAGGAAGAGTACATTTGTTCTAATTAGTAAATATTTCAATTATCATTATGTTCACGGCGCACTTGTACAAATTATAGATATTTATAGTTCATCAGGAATTGAAGAAAGATTTAAATCATACAATTCAATAAGAAGTTCCAAATATAAAAGTACGAGTAAAAATATTAAATATTCAGTCTGACTTTCTGCTCCAGATTCCATCCCTTGATCCTCTGCAACGCTCTCTGGAACGTTTTGTGAACGGGAATTATTTTCGTCTTGATGTACTTTCTCCAAGCTCTCGCGATGTTCCTCTTGTCCGTATTTGATTAAAGTTAGCTCTGGATTTTTTCACCGTTTTTCGCTCTTTTCCTTACTTTGTATAAAATCGAATGTAAATACAGTTGACAAACTTCAACAACTTATATCCTTCATTCTTCCACAGCTACCTGACACCCCAAAGCAATGCAGCAACCAAGACGACCATTCCACAATGATGAACAACAAAGTTGTGGCAAGACGCAGCATGGTATATTTAGCAAATTTCCTTTTTCATTTTTTTTCACTCGCAAAATACCTAATATGCCTGGTATTTAAGTTATGCAACAGTAGCTTCATCTCATATGCTTCATCTGCAAGGGGAAGTCCCTGAACATACCCATCATGTGAATGTAGGACAATGCATCATAAGATCTGTGGACAGAGCGTATTAAGGGAAGAAACAATATAATTGTTTTAAAGGAAAATTACAGAAAACACTGTCACAAAAAAATTTTTCAGTGTAGCCTGCCCTGGGTAAGCAAAAGTCCTACTTGGCTAAATTGACTATGCAGTTTTCCATTGTCGCGTGTAATGCCCGTTTCGTGTCGTGTTTGTGAAGAAATTATAAATATTGAACTTTGCTTTAGAAATTAGAATACACAAGCCATGAGCCACCAGCTCAATAAAACGTGTTTCCCAGGGAATATAATAACGAGATAATCATTGTCTCCAAAGAATACGTTCTTTCAAGTTAGTGTGCTATAAATATGGTTGATATTCACAGACAAGGAAAGTGAACTTCGTCGCTAAAATTTAACATAGTAAAATTTTCTATAGGCAAAAATATCTCATAAGACATTTTTCGTACTTTTAAGATCAGCTACATAGCATTCAGCAACCCTTTCTTTACTTAACACTTCACAGTTAATTTTCGCAGTGAGCAGTGGACCAAAGCCTAAAATGCGAAATATTATGGCACGGAAGATTAAAATCATGATTTACAATCAAACGCCCAATTTTAAGTCTTGCGGTCAATGTTATAAAAATTGGCCGTCATAATTAACTTGTTTAGAGATCAACTGTTTAGGAATGAAACGATCTGATGACAGCAATAACACTGGTCAACAAAAAGAAACTTTTTAAAAGGTGTCTGATATTTTTTGACTGATTTACTATATTTTTGCTATGCTAAATCTAGAAATAACATTCATTTTGCTCTCGAAGGTCAAATTTTTTTGCAAATTTGAATTTAAAATTATGCGACTTTAATTATATTTTTTTAAAACAATGTTTTCAAGATTTACATCTTTTCAAGATGTTTCAAAACAAAATGTCAGTTTTTATGATAAAATTGCAGTATTCCAAGAAAGAATCATGTACACTTCATGTACAGTACATGTAACTAAAAATGAAAACTTAGTGTTTGCATTATTACGGTCTAAATTTTCGTTTTTTTGATGGTCGCGAATGTTTTGGTGCTTGCACATCTCTTTTTAAATTCCAACAGTAGTCCGCCATCATCACCGTCCCACTTTTCTCTTAAGTCATGGTGAAAGCGCTCTCCTTGCTCATCGCTTAAAGAGCCAAGATTTTCGGGATCAATACCAGCTTTTAATTTTTCAGTTGACAAATTGGGGAAGGTGTTACAACGAAACTGAAAACACCGTCCATCTTTATCCAAAGTTTTAGTGAATTGCCTTATCAAACCAAACTTTAGAGGCTTGTTTATCACATTTTTTGCTCTACAACTTGCAAGCTCGTCACGTACTGGCCATTCTTTTTTCACGTAATGATGAGTACGATCCCTACTATCCCAGAGGCATAAAAAGTATGGGTATTTGGTAAATCCAGACTGTTGACCAAGCAAGAAGTTGGCCATTTTTAAGTCAACGCAAATCAGCCATTTATGTTGGTCATAAGAAATTTTTTCTAGGACGTACTTAACTGCTTCATGCTGTTCTTTTAATGTTGTCGAATGTGCCATTGGCGCAGATGCAAATTGATTTCCATTGTGTAACAACACACATTTTAAAGACCTTTTGCTGCTGTCGATAAAAAGTCGCCAGTCCTCTGATTTGTATTCAGGTACGCCGAGATGTTTCAGTAGCTCTACTATGTCATTGCGATAGACTAATTCTTTTTCTTGAGCAAAATATCTTAAAAACTCCTGGTGCCTGGTACGGAAGAAACTTACCTTAACTTTCCCATTTAGCATGTTCTTGTCCTTTAAACGAGATGCAAGAAGTTCGGCAGAGTCTTGGCAAATTTAAATCGCGAACAAGATCGTTTAGTTCGTTTTGGAAAACAATTTTGGCTGCTCATTATTGTCATCGGGAAAGGATGCATCATCGGTAGTGGCAATGCTTTGAGTTTCATCCTGGCTACTACTGCTTTCTTCAATACTTGTATCTTCAAATACAAGTACGGGAATTTCTTCACTATAAGGAGTAGGGCGCATAGCTGACGGCAGATTGGGATACTCCAGTGTTGTGCGATTTTTTCTGTTAATTCCCATGACATTGATAGCACAAAAGTAGCAATCGGTTGCATGATTTAAGGCTGTCGCCAAATCATGGGGATGCCAAAGTTCATGGACTTTTGCGTGCCTTTGCTCCATTGACGGAGATGCTCTGTGCATCTTTTTCAGACCATGTGAGGTGCCCAACTTTTGTCTTGATCGCCGAGCTTCATGCCAAAATATGCATAGTAAACGCGCTTGATAAAGGTGGTGACAGTATTGCGATTTGGTGCAAGTGTGTATTCACCACAAACATAGCAAAAAACATCTGGCTTATTTTTATTATTTTTTACTTACATTAATATGTTGGTGTGTTTTAACAAGTTTTACCATTGAATTCCAGCATGGGCTAAATAAAGCCTAATTTTATCTTTAAATATCCCATAATAATCGCAAAACCTAAACTCCCTAATTGAAATTCAATCAATAATTGCTTATTCAAATGCTTTCTTCTTTGTATTGCTAGTGCTAAAAAATTTAAATTTGTTCAGATAATAGAACTTTAAAAGGTAAATGGTTAGTACTTCTGTTGTACCTTTCTCGGGTATTTAAAAGTTAAAAAATAGAAAATTAACGATAGCTTAAAATCTCGACCTGACCCAGCAAAAATAGTGTTATTTTTGGACTCAGCACATCAAAATTGTCCAAAAACAGTTTACAAAACTAAGACACCAAATTTGCTGTTGACCAGTGTAATCAATTAACAATGATTTTGTTATTAAAAGGTTAAAAGCTGTGAAATAAAACGATTTAAAATGGATAAGTTCATCTGAAACATAGCCTATAGAACAATGACTTTGAAATTCAAAAATTTCAATAAACCTTCCACTCACTGTCTCAAAGAGATGAAAAATTGAGTGTGTGATGAGTAGAGTGTGGAAGATTTATTGCAATTTTTATATTTCAATGTCATTGTTGTAAAGGCTGTGTTTCAGATTAACTTATCTCGGAGCGATTATAGAATACCCGTCCATTTTTAAAAGCACCCTTACGGCTTAAGTTAAACTAAAATGTCGTTTAGTTCTCAATTATTATTTATCAAGTATCATTTAGTGTCATTTAATGGTCAAAATAAAGAACAAAGTATAAAGAACAAGGCATATTATATAAGTAGATAGTGAGTGGACGGGTATTCTTTAACATAGCATTACGATCTTGTGGCGTTTATCACTAAACTAAAATATCGTTTAGTTCTCAATTATTATTTATCAAGTATCATTTAGTGTCATTTAATGGTCAAAATAAAGAACAAAGTATAAAGAACAAGGCACATTATATAAGTAGATAGTGAGTGGAAGGTTATTCTATAACATAGCATTACGATCTTGTGGCGTTTATCACTAAACTAAAATATCGTTTAGTTCTCAATTATTATTTATCCAGTATCATTTAGTGTCATTTAATGGTCAAAATAAAGAACAAAGTATAAAGAACAAGGCACATTATATAAGTAGATAGTGAGTGGACGGGTATTCTATAACATAGCATTACGATCTTGTGGTGTTTATCACTAAACTAAAATATCGTTTAGTTCTCAATTATTATTTATCAAGTATCATTTAGTGTCATTTAATGGTCAAAATAAAGAACAAAGTATAAAGAACAAGGCACATTATATAAGTAGATAGTGAGTGGACGGGTATTCTATAACATAGCATTACGATCTTGTGGTGTTTATCACTAAACTAAAATATCGTTTAGTTCTCAATTATTATTTATCAAGTATCATTTAGTGTCATTTAATGGTCAAAATAAAGAACAAAGTATAAAGAACAAGGCACATTATATAAGTAGATAGTGAGTGGAAGGTTATTCTATAACATAGCATTACGATCTTGTGGCGTTTATCACTAAACTAAAATATCGTTTAGTTCTCAATTATTATTTATCAAGTATCATTTAGTGTCATTTAATGGTCAAAATAAAGAACAAAGTATAAAGAACAAGGCATATTATATAAGTAGATAGTGAATGGACGGGTATTCTATAACATAGCATTACGATCTTGTGGTGTTTATCACTAAACTAAAATATCGTTTAGTTCTCAATTATTATTTATCAAGTATCAAGTGTCATTTAATGGTCAAAATAAAGAACAAAGTATAAAGAACAAGGCATATTATATAAGTAGATAGTGAGTGGACGGGTATTCTATAACATAGCATTATGATCTTGTGGCGTTTATCACTAAACTAAAATATCGTTTAGTTCTCAATTATTATTTATCAAGTATCATTTAGTGTCATTTAATGGTCAAAATAAAGAACAAAGTATAAAGAACAAGGCACATTATATAAGTAGATAGTGGATGGACGGGTATTCTATCACATAGCATTACGATCTTGTGGTGTTTATGACTAAACTAAAATATCGTTTAGTTCTCAATTCTTATTTATCAAGTATCATTTAGTGTCATTTAATGGTCAAAATAAAGAACAAAGTATAAAGAACAAGGCATATTATATAAGTAGATAGTGAGTGGACGGGTATTCTATAACATAGCATTACGATCTTGTGGTGTTTATCACTAAACTAAAATATCGTTTATTTCTCAATTATTATTTATCAAGTATCATTTAGTGTAATTTAATGGTCAAAATAAAGAACAAAGTAAAAAAAAACAAGGCACATTATATAAGTAGATAGTGAGTGGACGGGTATTCTATAACATAGCATTATGATCTTGTGGCGTTTATCACTAAACTAAAATGTCGTTTAGTTCTCAATTATTATTTATCAAGTATCATTTAGTGTAATTTAATGGTCAAAATAAAGAACAAAGTATAAAAAACAAGGCACATTATATAAGTAGATAGTGAGTGGAAGGTTATTCTATAACATAGCATTACGATCTTGTGGTGTTTATCACTAAACTAAAATATCGTTTAGTTCTCAATTATTATTTATCAAGTATCATTTAGTGTCATTTAAAGGTCAAAATAAAGAACAAAGTATAAAGAACAAGGCACATTATATAAGTAGATAGTGAGTGGACGGGTATTCTATAACATAGCATTATGATCTTGTGGCGTTTATCACTAAACTAAAAGGTCGTTTAGTTCTCAATTATTATTTATCAAGTATCATTTAGTGTAATTTAATGGTCAAAATAAAGAACAAAGTAAAAAGAACAAGGCATATTATATAAGTAGATGGTGAGTGGACGGGTATTCTATAACATAGCATTACGATCTTGTGGTGTTTATCACTAAACTAAAATATCGTTTAGTTCTCAATTATTATTTATCAAGTATCATTTAGTGTCATTTAAAGGTCAAAATAAAGAACAAAGTATAAAGAACAAGGCACATTATATAAGTAGATAGTGAGTGGACGGGTATTCTATAACATAGCATTACGATCTTGTGGTGTTTATCACTAAACTAAAATGTCGTTTAGTTCTCAATTATTATTTATCAAGTATCATTTAGTGTCATTTAAAGGTCAAAATAAAGAACAAAGTATAAAGAACAAGGCACATTATATAAGTAGATAGTGAGTGGACGGGTATTCTATAACATAGCATTACGATCTTGTGGTGTTTATCACTAAACTAAAATGTCGTTTAGTTCTCAATTATTATTTATCAAGTATCATTTAGTGTCATTTAAAGGTCAAAATAAAGAACAAAGTATAAAGAACAAGGCACATTATATAAGTAGATAGTGAGTGGACGGGTACTCTATAACATAGCATTACGATCTTGTGGTGTTTATCACTTTGGTAGTTGTGGTTCGTATGGCATAATAAAAAAAAGTGTCAAATATGAATATAATAATGTATAAAAAGTCATAGCCACCTCTTGTACTTAAGGCAAGTTTGTCACAAATAGAAGATTAAGAATCTAGTGAATATTGCGATAACGCGACTTCCGTATGCGCTCGAAAATCTCGTACACTTGCACAGTTTTGCGAACGTAGCATTTACGTTATAATAAATAAAGTTGCCTTCAAAAAAAGTAAAAAGCATTGTCGTTAACTGATAGAAATATAACTTACACGCATTTGAAAATTTTCGCAGTTAAAGCAAAAGAAGGGCGCAAACTCAGTAAATTTATCAATATTTTGCACAAACCTTGTAAGATCAAGCACAGAATGTATTGATTCAACTTTTTCTTCGTTCGGTTCTGGTTCTTTCACGTTAACATTTCCAGGTTAAAAGCAAATAAACAAATTACTTCCCAAACATTGTAGTCATAAGACAATACAGCAATGTTCTTCTTCCTAATTTTCCGCTCTGCTTTGACTCCAATTCAGCGACTGACAAAAGCAGGCTGGATACAATCAAAGGAAGAACCAAAAGTCTTAAAGCTCTCACCCAAATCTCACCAAGAAACGACACGTACATTGCATATTCCTTCGGCGTTGGATCTATGGACGACTGAACATTGCAATGTAATAAAGCACCAAATATCCACAAAGTACGCCGAATAAAATGAAAAATAATATCATATGTTGTTTTGCATGTTTTAATCCATTGTAGCAACGTTTTCGTGAAGTCATTATCGAAAATTTGAAGCTTTGAATACAATTCAAAGCAACAAATAAACACTGACCCTCAACTTCACAATAACAAAGATCATAAATATACCGCGCCATTGACTATATATAAATATTCAATACTTAGAGGATTAAATCACGTGTTATGCAGAAGCATATTGCTGATTTGCTTTAATATTAGAAACATTTGTGATTTGTGTAGTTGTACAAAGAGCAGACCAGTATTGTTTTGCAAATTTTTTAAGTAAGAAAACTCAGCACTCTAAAGGCATCATCAACAAGCTGTAAGTACAATGCTAACAGAATGAATACTAAAGAACAAAAATTCCAATTTTTTTAATATTTATCATGACATCATACAAAAGCCAAATCAAATTATCTAATCTACAACAAGCAGTAAATAGTTCGTTTCCAAACTTGAGTACATCATGATGTTCAGGTATAAATAGTAAAAAAATAATCATAGTCTACAATGATCTACTGTTGGTTCAAGCTATCAGTATGCAATAAAATATTTTATATCAACTGTTCTTGGGTATAACACCAGTCGGTTATAAGATTAAAGGTTGCTGAGATTTACAACGACTCACAACTGAAATTGACGTCATCTTTACTGCCAATCTCATTTCCTTTTTGGTTCAGTTCATGAGCTTTAAGAAAGATCACTCCTAAAATTGATGATGGATGCCCAATTAGCTTGGCCAATTCTCGTTTCTTTATGCAAATTTGTTCAACACCTTGAGATAATGTGTTGTTTTCAATAGAACCATTAATAGAAACAGGCCCTCTGATGTAATCACATTGTCTTATGTGTGAGAACAAATTCTTAGTTAAATTACCAATACCATGGCTACTTGTATAAACAATCAATTTCCAATCTTCTTCTTTTTCAGTACTGGATAAATCAATTCCTTTAAACTTGCTCAGTTTTTGAGGACTCACATCAAACATGATAATAGCTGGATGTGTACTGCTCAATCCATATTGCTCTAATGAGAACTTTGCATTATTTACCATGTAGAAACCTCCTCCATCAGAGAAGTCTGATTTCTTTCGACCAAAACCCAGCACAATTCCAATTTCCACAATATCCACAGCACTTTTGTGATCAGTACAATGGAAATATACTTCTGTCTCAGGATTATTTTCATTTAGTTCAGCAACTTTTGATCCAACATGGTGTAGGGCATCTTCTTGCGATGCAACATTGATCATATTGAAAGGATGACTATGTCTTCCCTCTTCATCTAAACGTGGGATATTCACAGTAAACCATTCATTTTGATTATCATTTTTGAAAGGAAAATACGAAACTTGATCATTTAAGAAGATATCATACTTAAAATGATTTTCAATGTAAGTTTCCACCCAGGATAAAATTGGTTTGTGATTTGGATCTGGCATGTTGGTTATCCATTTAGCAATAAATTGAGATCGATGCTTTGTAAAACCAATCTTGCACAAGATTTTAGCAACCTTTTCACTATCTCTGAGATCTTTTATGCTGTCTTCTTCCTTAAACCCCTTTAAAAATCTTAGCAAATGTACCTTTTCACTTTTGTGTTTTCTCATGTAAGGAGTTAGTTCGAGAAGCCTGCAAGCCAACTCATCTTTCAAACCAAGCACTGAGCACAGAACATCTTCTGGGGTGATATCCAAGTCAAAGAGATCATTTATCTCAGGATGGTTTAGATTGGAAATGGCACTTTCTATACTACTCAAAGCATTATCAAGATTAAATTCATACACATACTCAATTGTAATTTCTTGCTTAAAGCCACAAAAATTGTTGTAGATCAGATTTATGTCATCGAGAAGCTTGGTTAACTTGTAGAGATCTACTTTTAGATCATTCAGTTGATTTATCTTTTCATAAGTGAGTTTGCCTTTATCAGACAATAATGTCTTTACCTTGTCCAACAAGATACAACAAAATACAAGACACTGATGAAGAACACAAAATGAGCGAATTAAGTGGCGGTCAGTTTTATCAGCACTTTCATGTCTGTCTAGGGTACGCAATTGGGAACGCCAGTCGCCAAGAACAGTCACATATTTCTCAACATCTTCATTGTTTTTAGTAGTTCGCTTTTCCTTGATTTTAAAACGTTCACGTTTCCCAATGATTGGATATTTATTCATCCTAAAAGCCTGGAAGAAGAACGGATAAAGAAAACAAGAAGTCACACTTAAACATATGACACAAATCGATATTTAAAGTGCTCACAAAAACCACGCGCTCTCAAATAAACTCGTCTTTGAACGTCTACTAATAAGAATCAAAATGCTTAAAACAGAAGTGTAAAATGCTTTCATGAAAATAGTAAATTATAAACTTACGTTGAAAAATTTTCACGCTACAGAAGTATGCCAGGGCAGCAAAGATGAAAGGACAGATTAAATATAAAACTATATCACATTTACCATTACTCAAGAAATGATTGCCTTACACTGCATTTCAGCCAATCAGGTTGTGCTGCTTCAGGCGTCATCAAGGTTATAAAATAAACACAATGCGGTGCGGTGATTGGTCAAGAGCTTGAATAAGTCTCACTCGACACGAGGGAAATACATTAAACAATTTATCAAATCATTCTGCATTTGTGTAGCAGTTTACAATATCTTCTCGTTGTTTTTAAATAACCAGAATTTACCATTATTGTTTGGCTTGTTTTGAAATCAACTGCTTTAGTCTACTAGGAACACTTCGAAAGAAAACGGTGAACGGTTTGATGTTAAAAACACTGTTAAAACTGTTACATCAAAAATTATCATTCCATTCAAAGTTAATGACATAAATAAAAAAATAAATACAGTATATCTTTACATACAAAAGTTCAAAGTAAGGTTACTGATGATGGTTACATTAATTAATTGTCAATTAGCTACACAAGATATAAACAAATATGTTCCTGAAAGTTTCCGTTATTGAAACAAGATGCGTTTTCAAGTGTTTGCATTTTACACTATTATATAGTGAATGGTTATTTTTACTATAATATAGTGAATGGTTCTTTCTATATATTATCATTTACGGCATTTTACATACGCCAAATGCATTCAAGACACAAAAAAATTAGATAAATTCCTTGCTAACTTTTGTTTTAAATGCATTCGGCTCATGTAAAATGCAAAGTTTGAAAAACGGACCTGAAAGTTGGTAACTAATACATTCAGATTTAAACTTCTTCTTGTGTTGACTGAACATTCAACACAAAATCATCCAGCGCTTCCATCGTATATCCATGTTCTCTTATCAAATCCAAAACATGAGGTAAAAAATTGAATTCCTCAATAAGAGTCTCTTGTATGGGATGACGTCTTCTACCATTTTCTATTCCTGCCGTCACTTCACCAAGACGATCTTGAACATTTTGTTCACCATTGCTTACCTCATGTTCCCCATGTTCCGACCTTCTCTTGTTGTTGAATTTCTTGCAAAGCTTGCAACCCATGTTTATGCTGGTATAAAATGAAGATAAAAAGTCCTTATTCACGGAACTTTTCCATGCGAGAATTTTAAAGTTAATTGATAATGTTTAAAATTTGATTTTAATCTTACAGACAACCAAAGTATTTGATACACGATCGCGTAAGAAGTATAGGAAAGAGGGATTCTGAGACTATTAGCGCGGGTAGTTTTTTTAATTCGTTGTGCTATTTGGCAATTATTAAAACTAAAAGTTGCTATCGCAAGGGGGGGAGTGCTGCCCCGACCCCTTGTCCGGAAAAAAATTTGCAGGGTTCAGCCGTGGTCACAGCCATTGGAACCACCTCCATGTACAGCATTCTAGTTGGTTTCATACATACGTTATGATTGGGTGATTAGAATGATAGACAAAGAAATTTTACATGCGTGTCTCTTTAACTTTTAGCTTTGCGTAGTCAAGGTTTATTTCGCCATGTTTAGAGTTTTCTTTCTATCTGAAGGCCTGTTTACACGTTCCGATTTGTCAGATCCTATTGTTTCGGCTCCGTCTTTTGATTGCTTGTTCAGACGGTCAGATAGTTGTGTTGATATTTAGATACGTTTAGATATTTATAATCTTGAGAGCAGCCATTTGTGTTGTTCAGTAATTTATCGATATATTTGCGTACTTTTCTTCTTGTTTCCAAGTCTTTTCAATTATAAATAATTTGGCTAATCAGTTTCCTCTGATCTTGTCGGTCAGATAAGAATAGAGCAAGTTCTATTTCTATCCTCTTTTAGATTGACGGATCCGACTGTCGGAGACTAACTTTAAATGTGCTCACACGATTCGTTTTTAGGATCCAACAAAATGGGATCCGACAAATCGGATCGAGTGAACGGGCCTTAATCAAACGTGCCATATCTTATTTGAAATACATTCAAACAAAGGCACGCGTTCTGAAAGTCGACGGTTGATTTGCGGCAAAAAATAGGTCCCGTGCTTTACATCTTATTTCATTTCATGTTTCAAACAATTTTAAAGATAGAATTCATTACCATTTCGAACGAAAACAATTGTTTGATAAAATGTTTATATCTCCAACAAATCTGTCTTTAAAGTGCTTTTTGAATTAAAGTATGATACTTTGTTTACTCAACCGATCAATCAAACGCATGTTTACAAACGTAGAAACGGACTATATTATAAAACTGTAGTTTTGTTTCCATTATTTCCTTTATAACATTTTGATTGAACCTTTTTTCCGATGATTCTGTGCGACTGCGATAAAATGATGTATAGTTATCGCAAAGGGCAAATTTTCATCGTATTCATAATCCATATTTCATGGCTGAACTCGCACCATGCGTTTAAATTATTTTTGACGTTTTGTTAAATCCACACCGATATTTCAAGTAATAATAAAAGCTCGAACAAAAATAAATACATGCTTACACAACATTTTTCTCACCGTGTGAAAATATAGCGCAAGATAAAAAATGTGAACCGAGCTGGCTAAATACGGCACGGTGAATGCATTTTATGTGTTTTTCGCCAAACGAGATATGTGTTATTGATGTCGGTAATCACTCGATTTTAGTATCTACTGTATAACGTTGTTTAGGCCGCATATCTATTCGGATTCCAGACATTTAAAGACAGACACAAATCGAGATTTCATCGGTTTATAGGTAGCGTGGGGGAATGGGTCGAGTCATGTCAAGAATAGTGTGCTGCCACGCATTCTGCACGTGTGTAACAGTTTACAATATCTTCTCGTTGTTTTTAAATAACCAGAATTTACCATTATTGTTTGGCTTGTTTTAATATCAACTGCTTTAGTCTACTAGGAACACTTCGAGAGAAAACGGTGAACGGTTTGATGTTAAAAACACTGTTAAAACTGATTACATCAAAAATTATCATTCCAAACATCAAAGGTTCCGACATCGAGTGGTTCCTTGTTACATTTCGTAAGTAAATTAATGGTAAATTAGTGAAAAGAGAAGTCATCACTGCAAGGCAGTTATACCCTGCAGTGAAACCTGTTGTCATGGTTAGACTCAAACTTAGTTTGTTTGCTATCATCCAATTTTAAGTCAGAGTTTGTCTTTTCTAGTTCAACTTTATCATTATTTGAAGCAGTTAAGCAGTTATTACGCGTTAAGCCTGTTCTCCACTAGCCACGTATCGTAACGTATCGTAGCAAAACGTAAAATAACGCATGCGTGCTTGTGAATAATGACCATCAAATTCACAAGCACGCATGCGCCATGTTACGTTTTGCTACGAAACGTTGATAAATAAGAAATGAGTCTTTACATTTATTCATAATTTTTTTGAGCAGTGTCAATTCGTATTAAATATATAACCCAATTTTAGCTCATTCGCAAATAAACAAGAAATTTCAAACATTCTGTATGATACACCATGTATAATAATAATAAACTTAAATTATTAGTGAGACGATTTAACGATGGTGGAGCAAAATATGAAAGCTATAAACGACACTGAAATTAGTGAATGTGAACGTATTTGGAGGTGGCTCAACGACAATGAGGTCCAGGCACATAAACATGCTATCGTAACTCTCACACCAACCTTTTTTTACTGAAGCCAAGTTAGCCACGAAGGTAAAAATGTACAAATCAAGTTGAAAGTCTCGTTTGCACGCTTTGAAAATCGAGACAATAAGAATCCTTCGCCTTTGTGACACTCGTTACGTTGCCCGCATTCCTTTATTTTTCTGTTTCTGACTTGTAACTCTCGGAAGTAAAACTGTTTCCCACAACCAATCAAAATCTCGAGGAATTATCAAGCCAAAGAAAAATCCTAAAAAGGAGTCGAACGGATGACATCATACTTTCATTAACATCTTGAGCTCGTTGAAGAAAACATCTCACAAAGGAGGCTCAAATGTACGAAACAAAATACATATACCATACGATACATCATTGTTTCATAAAACTAGCCATATTTTCCTTTATGTTATTGTTTTCTTCATTCCCAATGTTGACATAATCATAAAGTTTTTGTCGTTTTGTGAGCTTTTGTACTTTTTAATACAGTTGACGTCATGATACACTTCCGCTTTTGAAATTTCAAATATTCTCGATTTCATTTGATGATACATAAAGTTAGAAAGGAGTATTAGAATTTTTCAACAAACTTCACTGACTGTATAAGTTCTGATAAACGTCAAAGGTGAACGTTTAGATTAAGTTAACATGAAATTTAAACTCAGCGTCAGACAATGGAAAGCGACAAACTATAGCATCGACAGTCATAATTCATAAACAATTTTGATAAGATATTTTGAATCTTGGATCAATTATGATTCAAGTGACTTTTAACTTAAAAATTTCAAGGAAAATTTTCGCCGTAGGAAATTGTTAGCAATACGAAATTTAATGATCTCCTTTCTAAATATGCTTTCATTTCAACGACTTGGCATTTACAATAGTTTCACGATGAAGAATGTCCTATTCAACACAAACTACATATTCAGAGCTGCAACTTGACATTTACAATAGTTTCACGATGACAAATGTCATATTCAACACAAACTACATATTCAGAGCTGCAACTTGACATTTACAATAGTTTCACGATGACGAATGTCCTATTCATCACAAACTACATATTCAGAGCTGCAACTTGGCATTTACAATAGTTTCACGATGAAGAATGTCCTATTCATCACAAACTACATATTCAGAGCTGCAACTTGACATTTACAATAGTTTCACGATGAAGAATGTCCTATTCAACACAAACTACATATTCAGAGCTGCAACTTGACATTTACAATAGTTTCACGATGAAGAATGTCCTATTCAACACAAACTACAAATTCAGAGCTGCAACTTGGCATTTACAATAGTTTCACGATGAAGAATGTCCTATTCAACACAAACTACATATTCAGAGCTGCAACTTGACATTTACAATAGTTTCACGATGACGAATGTCCTATTCATCACAAACTACAGATTCAGAGCTGCAGTTTAACCCGAACAGGGGACCTTCAAAAACTGCCTCACAAAATACTGACAATGAAATATCTATTTCGGATCGTCAATAGAAAATAATTGATGTTTGTAATGTATAGGGTTTGAATGGTGTTTGAAGTTAAACAAATTATTGTTCAAGGCAACCGCAGGTAGTGTATGATAAAAATAAAACACAGTAAGTTTTAAAACAAACCACAATCATTTTTGCTTCATCTTCTTCTTCATCATCAGGATTATCATCATCACCATCAACTTCTGCATTTTGACGTTCAAGTTTTTCCAGTTCCTTTGCAAAATCTTCTTCATTCATATCTGTGACAACCTTTGGCTAAACAGATAACAATGATAATCAATGATAGAAATTTATAGCTTAAATTTATCATTTGAAATCAACAAATTTCTTGCATGAATGCAAAGGCATGGCAATAGGATTTACAAGTACATTTCAACCCCTAACCTTGATTGTCATGTATCTGACATAATGAGAAGAACTGACAAAATAAACACAAAAGTAGATTGTTAAGCTCTTGGTCAGTAATGATCAAGTTTAAAAATCTGTGGGTAAAGTGAAGGTTTGAATCAACAATCGACTTGTAATGTGTAAATCACACAATGACTTTCAAGGATGGTATGGGAAGGTACGTGGATAATACGGTGATTGCATGAGGATGGTATATTGTGATGGTACTAGGATGATATGGTATGATATGAGAATCACATGGTGGTAGTACAAAGATGATATGGTGATGGTTTGAGGATTATATGGTATGATATGAGGATCACAAGGTGGTAGTACAAAGATGATGTGGTGATGGTTTGAGGATGATATGGTATGATATGAGGATCACATGGTGGTAGTACAAAGATGATGTAGTGATGGTTTGAGGATGATATGGTATGATATGAGGATCACATGGTGGTAGTACAAAGATGATGTGGTGATGGTTTGAGGATTATATGGTATGATATGAGAATCACATGGTGGTAGTACAAAGATGATGTGGTGATGGTTTGAGGATGATATGGTATGATATGAGGATCACATGGTGGTAGTACAAAGATGATGTGGTGATGGTTTGAGGATGATATGGTATGATATGAGAATCACATGGTGGTAATACAAAGATGGTGTGGTGATGGTTTGAGGATGATGTAGGTATGATATGAGGATCACATGGTGGTAGTACAAAGATGGTATAAAGATGATAACAAGATGTTAAGGACATAATATGCACATGCAATAAAACGATAAAGAGATTGATAACAGAAAGTTTGAGGGACGGTACTTTATACTTAGAACAAATGTACCTTTCTTGTTCATAACGACTTCTTTAATGGTTTTGATTGAAGTTTCCAAAGCTTTTAAACCATCTTCTCAATTCATTGTTGTCGTTTTGACAACATAGGTTGGTGGTGAAATACGATTTATCTTAAAGAACAAGACAATTTATTCGTAAATAATCGCTGTGCTCTGTACAATCTTAACTTTAATTTTACAAACAAAATTTCCTAAACATACATACAAGAACATACAGAAAATAAACATTTGAACATATTTATTCATACTTGACACAAACCTTATGAGATCAAGCACAGAATGAATGTATTGCTTCTACTTTTTCTTCGTTTGGTTCAGTTTTTTTCACGTTAACATTTCCAAGTTTAACACAAATAACTAAAATATTCTCCAAAATGGCGGTTAAAATTGTTGTAATAAGACATGAACAACGAAATGCCACAGAGTGGATAACGTTTTATTTACAATAAGCAGAGAAAGACAAAGAAAATAAACTCATTTTTAGTTCATTTTCAAAGTTTCCAAGTCAGTTTTCATAAATTCAAAAATATAATTCACTTCCCAACACGTTCAGTTTAAGCTCACTTTTAGTTGTTTGTTGACTAGTTCACAGTCCTCTGACCGAGCGCAATGAATAATTATCATTGCTAAATGTTTAAAATTCTATATGATAAATTAAAATAGATAGATTCATTGAATATCAATCTAATAATAGAGCACACAAAGCAAAGAAATGCTAGGCAACCAAATTAATCAAAATGTTGATATTTAAAATTATCGTTTGCTACACTCAACAAGATAGAAATTATTATTGCTGTAATAATTATCATTGCTAAATGTTTAAAATTCTATATCATGAATTACAATAGACAGAATCATTGATTGTCAATCTAATAATAGAGCACACAAAGCAAAGAGATGCTAGGCAACCAAATTAATCAAAATATTGATATTTAAAATTATCGTTTGCTACACCCAAAAATATCTTTTTCCTAAAATAAAAATACAGAGAAAATCCCAATGCTCTAAAAAAATCCAAGATTTTTGGTTTCGATTTCAAAAGTTCGTAAAATTGTTTGCATTGAAAGTAAGAACGTATTCAATATTTAAGATCATCGACTAGTCATAAACTATTGAATAAGTCCAACTAAACAAGAGATAAATGCAACACTCAACAAGAGAGAAATAATTAAATAATCCATTCAAATATTCTGCATGTGTATGACAGTGTACTATATCTTCTCGCTGTTTTTTAACAGTAACCAGAATTTACCATCATTATTTGGCTTGTTTTGAAATCAACTACTTAGGAACACTTTGAGAGAAAACGATGAACGATTACATTAAAAATTATCATTTCATTCAAAGTTAATAATGACATAAATGGAAAAATAAATATATATTTACTTACAAAAGTTTAAGGAAAGTTATTAAATGGCTACATTAATTCATTGTCAATTAGCTACACAAGATGTAAACAAATATGTCCTTGAAAGTTTCCGTTTTGGAAACAAGATGCGTTTTCAAGTGTTTGCATTTTACATTATTATATAGTGAATGGTTCTTTCTCTACTTAGGACAGTTTTAAACGCGGCATTTTACATACGCCAAATAAATTCAAGACACAAAAAAATTAGATAAATTCCTTGCTATCTTTTGTTTTAAATGCGACGTTTGAAAAACGCACCTGAAAGTTGGCAACTAATACATTAAGATTTAAACTTCTTCTTGTGTTGACTGAACATTCAACACAAAATCATCCAGCGCTTCCATCGTATATCCATGTTCTCTTATCAAATCCAAGACATGAGGTAAAAAATTGAATTCTTCAATTAGAGTCTCTTGTATGGGAGGACCCCTTCCACTCTTTTCTATTCCTGCCGTCACTTCTACAAGATTATGGTGAACAATTTGTTCACCATTGCTTACTTCATGTTCCCCATGTTCCAACCTTCTCTTGTTGTTGGATTTTTTGCTAAGCTTGCAACCCATGTCTATGCTGGTATAAAATCAAGATAAGAAGTCTTTATTCACGGAACTTTTCCATGCAAGAGTTTAAAAGTTAATCGATAATGTTTAAAATTTGATTTTAATCTTACAGACAACCAAAGTATTTGATACACGATCGCGTAAGAAGTATACAAAAGATGGATTCTGACTGGTGATGCCATAAAGTCGTTGCATTGTTTTGCCAGTTTTGCCAACTATTCTAATCCACAAATATGGCGCATATATAATCAAACATTGTTCTGACCGAGTGAGCGCCTTGTTTTATCCACTGGTTATTATAAAACAAAATAAAACAAATTCCGAAAACAGACATCTCGTTTTCTTGATAATCAAGATGATGTCCATCTTTTGTTTTAAAACTCTTGTATCATGTTGAATATCAAGAAAACGGGATGTCTATTTTCGGAATTTGTTTTATTTTGTTTTATATAAAATTATCCGCTCGTCCTGGTTACTTGTTTTACTAGTGTTTGTTATATCCAATGGCTATAACAGCAGGGGTAAAACTGAATACATAATACACTCCGCCCTCGCAACAGATTTCACATGCGCGGGTAAACGACCGTAATGGAAAACCGCCTTAAGAAAGGTAAGAAATTGATAAACCGCGTCAAGGCGTCAGAAAAGCCAAAACTAGCTAGTACTACGCAATGAAATCCCGCAATTTTGTACAAATTCACTAAGTATAATAATAATAAATCAAATCTTATATAATAGCTTTAGCTAAATGAGGACAAAAAATTCAGCTCGAGTAAAAAGGTAACGTATTAACATAATGTCGTCTCTTAACATAATGTTCTAAATGTAATAAAAAAGTCAGACTTACCTTCTGTCGGGAAATCAAGTTAACAGGAAATAGGAAAAAATAGAAATTGAAAATTGTTTTAATTCGTTGAGTATACCATACACTTGAGTCCGTGCGTTCTGTGTCTCTGTCCTCGACGATATAGTCCGCGTGAGTTTTGTCTGTCCTGTTATTAACGTTATCCGGTTAACCAATCAGAATGCGTTGCTAACAAGCGACACCATTGAATTTATAGTCCGTGATCTGTGACCGATTTTCTTTCATTCCCGTTGTAAACGTCAAAAAAGGTCGTGAAAAATTCAAGACAGTACGAGTTTTACATGCTTAATACAGTTTTACTTCTTGTCATCTCCAAAAAGCTGCAGTTTGTTTTATTGCTATATTACATTGAAATTTTAAAATTTGTAAAATTTGTTGCGTTGCTAAAAATGCGTTGCTAAGTAGCGACACCATTGAGTGTAGTCCGTGATCTGTGACCAATTTTCTTTCATTCCCGTTGGACACCTAGGGAGAGCTCGTGAAAAATTCAAGAGAGTACGAGTTTTACATAATTGCTTATTTCCGTTGAGATTTACCGATATTGACTGCTTTGCAGAAAATTTTGCAATTTCTCATTTCCCCCCGAAGAAAGAGTGAGAAAAAAGTATTTTCGTATTTGGCACTTGACCAGCAAATTTATGATGAAAATCAAGGTAAAAAACTGAAATTCTGAAGACAGAGTTTTCTAGTCTATTTTTTATTTATATGTATTGAGTGTTCAAAAGATACTTTGTATAAAGAATAAAAGCACAGCATTCCATAAATTTTCATATTTATTTAAGCAGTGTGAAAAAATAATAAAAGCTTTTTGAAATTCCATTTATCTTAAATGCTCAATCAACTTGCTGAAATAACATTATACGCATACTAATCGACAGAGCATACAAACTTAACAATACGAACAATGGCTTTCAACGAGACATAAAAAACATCACATCCACTCTTTTACGAAACTCTTTCCCACTACACTTTATTAAAGGAACCGTAAAACGATATCTCGACAACAAACAAAGCAACAACCTCAACCTAGACACCGAAACTCCTGACACGACGATCACAACCAACACAAATGAAAATTCCAAAATAACAACTCTATACTTCAAACTACCCTACATCGGACATTACTCACGACACACACAACGCAGACTTACAAACATTATGAAATGCTTCTGTACAGATATTGACATTCGACTAATTTTCACAACATTCAAAATCAAAAACCTTTTCTCATTCAAAGACCCAATCCCTGATTCAATTAAATCAATGGTGGTATATGAATTCAGTTGCGCGGGATGTAATCCCCGATACATTGGCGAAACTTCGCGCCATTTATCCACCAGAATCAGGGAACATAACACAACAGACAAAAACTCTCATATCTACGGACACCTTCTTAAATCTCGCTCATGTAAAACCAACTATTCACCCTCTTGCTTCAAAATCATCCACACTGCCAACACCTCATTCTCCCTTAAAATCAAAGAAGCACTCCACATTAACAAAACTAACCCTGACCTCAATGTTCAAGTTTTTAAATTCAATACAATATTTAGTTTATAATACGCTCGGACGCTCCCCATTAATTTATCTTATTTCCTTATTATTGTTGTAATTTATGTATCATATTACTTTTATATAAACCTTGTATTGTTTGTTATTTCACTCATACTGAAGATGACATCATGAGATGTCGAAACATGTCTATTTTAAAAAACTTATCGTGTATATTAAATGTGCATTAGCAATAGTACTTCTACGAAATTATGAATACAAGATTTTTAACTTTCTTTGGCTTTTGAATTTTTACACCCATTACTTCATGTCATTTTCATGTTTCAATTCTTGCAGATAAATATTGTCAATGTTAACAGGGTCATTATATTTTTGATTTTAAAGGACAGGGATGGTGTCATTGTAATTTACAAATAAACGACTGATGATGAAGTCATACTTGAACTTTGATAATGTCCCATTTTTAATACAGCATGGTACTTAGGGAAGTGGTAACAGGATGATATGAGGATAGTAGAGGCACCAGGGGGATGTCATTTTAGTGACACAATATACTTTTCATAGAAATATAAACCAAACACTTACAGCTTGTTGTAAAACAAATGTTCCTTTCTTGTTCATAATGACTTCTTCAATGGCTTTGATAGATGTTTTGAAAGCTTTTAAACCTTCTTCTTGATTCATTGTTGTTGTTCCTGACAACATAGAAGAACAAAACAGTTTGCAAACACACCCTGAAATTATCAAAAGATAATTTATCGTTTTATGTTATTCAGGCCTTCCACAAGGTTATTTTTATTCAACTTTTACTATATCAGTGAAAGTGACGACAATTCCCTGCATATGTCCTCTTATAGATCACAGCTCTCCACAAATGAAATTGCTGAAATTCTTCTGGTTTTTATATAATTAGGAAAGAAACAATTCAATGGTAGCAATCAACACTTGACAATGATCTCGTTATTAAAAGGTTAAAAGCTATGAAATAAAACAATTTGAAATGGATAAGTTAATCTGAAACATAGCCTATAGAGCAATGACTTTGAATTCAAAAATTTCAATAAACTTTCCACTCACTGTCTCAAAGACAACAAACAAACAAACAACATTTATATACCGGCCAGTATTAATCCCCGCCAGGGGGGTTGACCGGTCCATGAATTTTTCCACGCCACACATCTCTATCTCTCGCCATATCTCTCGTTATACCCATCGCCT